CAAGATCTTTGGATAAGCAAAGGTTTTCTGTCATTATCTTCTACTTTTGCTGCCGATCGGAACTTCTACATCTTTTGGAGTCTATTCTATAGTAACTCATGCTCCAGTAGTGCCGGTAGAATGTGAGCGCTTTTCGTCGTTGTTCATTGCTTTCCGCAGCACGAAACCCTTGATTCTCACATCACTTCATGCAGACTCAAAAACCTGAAATGGGTATTTCCCAAAATAGGTGTCCCCCTATATTATACACCCCGAAATACTATCATCCTTGCTCCCTAATTTTCCCCAAATTGCCATCATCCTTGCTAAGGGAACCCAAACTTGTATCCCTATTTTCGGAAACCTCTAAATAAGAGCCGAGGCGCGGCGTGAGCCCACCGAGCGCTTGGAGCCCAGGCTGCGGATGGACTTCATCTTCATGAAGCCAAAGCCTGCGCAGCACTTCAACGGGGCGCTCTCGGACTTAGGGTTCTGGTGTAGTAGGAGTCACCGTCTTTGAGAGTAACAGTAAGAGTAAGTGTACTAGTAGTCGTAGTAGTCGTAACAGTCGTCGTCGTCGTCGCCGCCGTCGCCGTCGCCGCCGGTCGTGCGTCGTACCAGCAGCAGCAGCAGCAGCAGCAGCAGCAGCAGCAGCAGCAGCAGCAGCAGCAGCAGCAGCAGCAGCAGCCGCAGCGGCAGCGGCAGCGGCAGCGGCAGCGGCAGCGGCAGCGGCAGCGGCAGCGGCAGCGGCAGCGGCAGCGGCAGCGGCAGCGGCAGCGGCAGCGGCAGCGGCAGCGGCAGCGGCAGCAGCAGCAGCAGCAGCAGCAGCAGCAGCAGCAGCAGCAGCAGCAGCAGCAGCAGCAGCAGCGGCAGCAGCAAAGCCTCCGTGAACGTACCAAGATTGAGGGGTGCTGGGATGCTCAGGAGCACACTACACGTAACGAGGTACCCATCAGAAAGTCTATAACTTTATGGTCCCTGTTTGGGTACCCTAAATATTCGGGGCCGCCTTAATCACTTCCCCCTTTTACTAAAGACCACCCTGATGATAAAAACACTTTCTGGAAAATTCTGCCGAAACCGACCCCGCCTTTTCAACCCTATTCCGAATTGGGGGGGGGGGGGGTTTCAGGCCTCCAATAAACCCCTCAACACCAATGATTCCCTCAGAGGGTTTAGGGTTTGGGGTCTAGGGTTAAGGGTTTAGGGCTTAGGGTTTAGAGTGGCTGTGCTGCGAGAGTTGAGCTGTCCCACTCTCTCTGTCTCTCTGTCTCTCTGTCTCTCTGTCTCTCTGTCTCTCTGTCTCTCTGTCTCTCTGTCTCTCTGTCTCTCTGTCTCTCTGTCTCTCTGTCTCTCTGTCTCTCTGTCTCTCTCTCTCTCTCTCTGTTTCTCTTTCTCTCTTTCAGTTTACACCACACTTAAGTTATTGATTACTTGAGTAACCCTGAAGTCTAATTAATTATGACATTTCGATAAAATCCTCCCCCTATCCTCCCCCTAATTATACAAACACATTTCGAGTTTCTATTGGGGGAGGGGGGGGCCCGTTTAATATTAGGGGGATGGGATTAGGAGACTATATAATCCCAAAAGGGACCATACTCTCGAGAGGCGACCATATAACTTTGAAAACCATGGCATCGCTTGGCCCCAGCGCCTCGATCCGAGAACGGGGACATCGCCGAATCCCCCACGGGGCTCAGCGTGGCAGAATGGTTGGCAGGGGAGTCCTGGATTTTGCAAAGTTGCAAAGCTTTAAACTGGCTCGGGTCTCGTATTTGGAGCGAGGGATCTCTTGGGTGTGTGATTTCTGCATTGGTGTCCATGGATGTGTTTCTTGGTTTGATAGCCAGAGTAGTTTCAGGCCGGAACATGTACGCTGAAACTAGGCTCCGTCGCCACCGTTTGCCCCACTGTGATTGCTGGACATAATCAATGAATTTCCGTGGCTTTAACGTCCATTCCAACCACATCCGCGGACCAGAGCATCCATGCCTGGACAGAGCAGTCGCAGCTGCAAAACATCCGACAACACCGCTCATGCGTTGGGCCGCACGGTGTGAACAGCTGACCAGAGAGCCCATGCCTGATCCACTAGCAACACACCCCATGCCGAAGCCAGTTTGCCACAGAATCCGTGCTTGATAACAGGAAGCACGACTATTCCGACCCCATCCAATAAGGGCCACCCTACACCGCATAAACCCTAAACCCCAAACCCGCTAGTGATGTCCATCCCGGCCCCATGGATCGTTCCGGCTTCCCAGTGCTGTTGTATCGGATTCGTGCATCTACACCGTGCAAAGTGGGATGGATTTGTGATGCAGCTTTCAGCCACTTTTCACGACTTTCAACACCATCAAGACTTGATGTTGCTTGGGCCAGGCACCTTCCTACAAAGCACAGCTACTGGACCTTACCATACATACCATGCGACCAAAACCTTGCAAAACCTCACCTTTTGGATGATTACTCCTCATGGCTCTAAACCATTCTTCGGGCACAACCCCAAGAAGGACAGATGGCTGCGAGGACTCGATGTATACAAGGACCAGCTGCGACGAGCTTTGCAAACCATAGGCCAGAACTTGCACCTTTACTGTCAGGTTTTGGGGTTGCGCCCGTGATTTGGGATCTGATTTACAAGTCACAACTTACAGTACACACGCAGAGTCAACGTCAGAGTTCCCCCTGGTGCCAGTGCAGTTGGGCATCTGCCGCGGCTGTCAGCAAGCCGTCGTGGGCAAGCGGCCTCCCGGGCAACCTCACCTCACAGGCGTGGATTCGCCAAGGGCAAAAGCCGGGACCTGAAGAGACGTATTGCTACAATTTGCTACAGCTTTGGCCTGATTTACATGTTCCCACCGGAGCTAGCTGGCTCTGCCTCCTTTTCCCATCTGGTGGCTTCGTCCTCCTCGTCGAGACACTCGACTCCTCGAGAAGCAAAGGAAGCCTAAGGAAGGTTCTGCCCGTATGCCAACTGCACCGAGGTAGTGGCTTAAAACTCGATCCGGACGGGCTGCCGACGAGTGAAGTGAGAATACTGGCATTGCACGGGGCCGGCACAAGAGTTCAACCGTGCTGGTCGCTTTGGCGTGCAGATGCTAAACGCTATTGTTCTCAACAACGAATCAAAACATTGAAGTGCTTGAATGCAACAAACGAGGCAACGAATCAACAATGCATGCCGCACTGCTGAATTTCATTTCACGAAAATAGCTGGCAAAAAAAAACAAGTTTTTGTGACTGTCGCTGTTCTTTCATGGGCCGTCACTCAGCAAAGTTATCAACATGTCTGGTAGTGTCTCAGGTACCCACCTCTTACCCTTTCGCATGGAACGCCTATGGATGTTTTGCCCAAGTCCCGGACCTCTGGTAACCTCAAAAACTTTTGTGGAAGCTTCTGCTCCACGTGGACCTATCACATCGACCCCCTGTGACCCTCTGTGCACCTTTTGCTGAATTCCTCACAAGCTGGTCAACTGGACAATCTGGGCAACCGTCCACAAGTAGGACGAGAAGAGCTTGAGGAGGGGCAGGTTGGGGGTTGGGTACTTTGTATAATCAATACACGCTGGCCCAGGCCGAGGCGGTCGCGCGGCGTTAACATAACAAGTGAACCGTCTTGAGCCTGTTGAAATTGCCTTTTCGCCTATGTATCTCATATTTGCACCGTTTAACGCACCAAAGCCCCCCCAAATGCCTTAACGGCCCTAAACCCTAGGCACCCTTCAACGGCTCCGGCCAGTGGGGTCGACGGCTCCGAGTCGGCGGCTGCCACTTTGATGGTCATCGCCCGGCCCATCTTCATCAGCCTGGAAAAGGGCGGCTGATCAACAGCAAGTACTTCGGAAAGTACTTTGGTTGAAGCAGAGTGAGGGATGTCTTCATCGAACGTGTTGCTGGGATGTGATGATCGTTCGGGCAGCGAGGTGTGGGATCTGACATGGATGCTGCTTTTCTAAATGCACGCAGCAAGCCCGAGAAATGGCGCTGTTACTGCAGCCCCGTGGCTCTGGGTCCGTCTCGCAACGGCTCATGACTGACATCTGGCTGGAGGTCCCCAGGTCCTACCGTGGCAAAGGCCGCTGGAAGGCAGATTCTTCTGGGCATCATCAGTGCAGCGTGTGGGGGTTTGAGGCGTAGCTTTGGACTTGGAAACTCATCAAAGGAAGGCCTTCCGAAGCCTACTGTAGCGGCATGAGCCTCAGGAGAGCACATGTGATTGTGAAGACTGAAACTTCTCTCGCATGAGGACAGGGAAGGGCAGTCCGGGGCGAAATGTGCACGTGGCACCCGCAGTTCCTTGAATGGGCAGCAGTGATCTCTCAGACCAGCACGGCGCTCGGCCTCCTACTAAATGCAGCTCCGCAAGCAGATTAGTTCTAAACTTCCCGCCAAGCGTGGCTTCTACCGAGCAGCAGGCGTTACGTGTAGGTTAGGCCTACCCATGCAAAACAAACATCATCCGAATCATCCGAGCATCACTTGACAGCCGGACGCCATCATCGCTTGACAGGGTGGTGGCAAGGATGCTGCTTCCGCTGCCGCTGGGCAGCAAGCTTGGCCGAACTTCCATAGCCGGGGCACCGACCCAACGGCACCTACCCCACTTTGCTAATGTATTTGTCCAAGGATGGCAGCTGATGTGGAAGGAGTCTGTCAAAGTTTCACGCTGTGGCTAAATGTCGCAACGACGGACACAGCTGTTCGGACCGCTAGGAACAATCAAGGTAAGGGATGTAAGGTGGGTATAGGCATCAGCCACAAAGAGCGGGTTGGGAGTGGTCTCTTTGATAACTTGTCACAGGAAGCCACGGAAGTTGATGGTCTGCACTTTGAGTAAGGGATCAGATACAATCAGCCTGAGCTACTCTTGTGCACGGCTTCGCCGTGCAGCTTTGCACTTGAACGGCGGCAGTGGCGGTTCACTGGGCAAGGATGCTGCTTGCATTCCGGGCACCGTCACTGTTCAGTCTGAGAGCTGCAGTGGACTGTCAGAGCTGCGATAAGATCTGCACAGCAGAGCTGAGCTCGAAAAGGCACCCATCACCGATGCGGACACATCCTGGGCGAAAGGCACATCTGCACGAGAGTCTCGAGAGGCTCAATGGATGGATGGGTGCCCACATTGTGCAGAAAACACTTAAGCTTGAGCCCCAAAATCATTGCCACCACTGATGCACTGGGGGCGCTGCCGTTTCGAACAGCTCCCAAGTGTGAGCTGTGACAGCCTTGGCTTGGGGGGCCAAGAGGCAACCATGCAGAAGGACAGATGCACTGACGGACGTAAAAGCAGCAGGCTTTGTAGAATGGTTTGCTGGTGCCGGTGATCAAGGTTTCTGAGTCCTTGGACCCCACATGCCTGCTACTCCTACCCGTCTAGGCCCAAGGCGACAATCGTTGAGTAAAACAAGAGCCCAACCCAGAACCCGAATCCTCAACCAAACCATCCCACCCAACCTGCCCAAAGCTAAGGCCACTTATTTCCCAACCCCTTTTCGCCAGGGAGCCGATGAGGCAACCCTCGTCGAAGCGGTTTCGCCTTCCCGCCGACAGCGGCCCGCGGAGGAGGGCCCGTGGGCTGACCTGGCTTCACTTTCAATCGTTCCTTTTTCAAGGTGCGGTAAGGCTTGTTTAGGGGGCTCCAGGCTGCTGGGGAGGCGCATGCGGGTCAGGCTAGTTTCGACGTGAAGAGAGAGAGAGAGAGAGAGAGAGAGAGAGAGAGAGAGAGAGAGAGCCCATTTGCAGGCCTTGACATGCCAGAGCCTCAGAGCTTTTCAAGACTCCAGAAAGTTGCATCAGACCTGCCTCACAGTCCTCGCCCAGCGTCACATCTTCCTGTGTCTTTCATTCGGCCAAAGGGTGGGCGTAGTGAGTGACTGGTTCCCCACAGTTTGGGTGAGTGAAGGGCTGAGCATTGTGGCCGTGGAGGAGGCCACGCATCCGCAACTAATGTAGGGGCCTTGAGAACTAGAATAGGGTTGGGTGTTGTTGATAGATTGTATAGGGACCATATAATACTAGCGGCGCGCGAGCAATACACATCACCCAATTGTGGACGCAACATAGCGGGAATACACATCAGCGGCGGAAGTACACATCAGGACACAGCAGCCCCCAAGGAGACGCTGGAATTCAAACAAACAGACAACATGGGTAAAACTGCCCGGATTTGCTGTGGACGCCAGAGCTTGCAGCACGTTTAATTAGTCTTTTCACTCTGTTTCAAAAGCTAATCACCAGTGAGACGCCAGAAAATCAACTATCTGAAATCCTAAATGCGATTAATCCTAAACTGCCGGAGGGTTGGTCGTCGAGTTGTCGCGGCGGTGATCAGGGTGACCGAGACCACCCCCAGCAATCGTCTTACTTAACTCGCAACTCCCGAAGGCATGTAGAAGCCTGCACGAGGCCGACTTCGACGCATCGCAGCTTCCCCAGTGTGGATGCCGATCGATGTGCAGACCACGTAGACGCTGCGTAAATGACGACGAGGCCGACTTCGACGCAGCAGTTGATATCCTTTGCGGAATGCAGTTCCCCAATGTGGACGCGGATCGATGTGTACAAAAAACCGAGCGATGCGAGATAAAGCGACTGCGTGTACCATTAGCAATTATTCCCACCCCTAGATTAGCCCTTAGAGTCTACTGACATGCCCTGGAGCCTCTACTCGGAGACCCTCTACAACTTTAGAGCCTCCGAGCCTCCACAATGGCCATGGCTGCGATGCGGCAGCGCGCGCCCAGGCGCACCCGAGGGCCGACCTGCCAAACTCTGCAGTTTGGGTCTTGTCGGGTTGCAGGGACACTGTCGATCTTAGCGAGTCCGTCGTCTTGCAGGGACTTCAATATCCCTTGTTGGTGATTGGGGCGTCGGGATTTGGGGCCTTGGGACTGGTGCCTGCAAGCTGGTGGGGCTTTGGGAACGTATGCAGCAAGCACGCTGAGACTCCAGCAATGGCGTGTTCTCCAATCACACAACCTTCACCTGAGGCTCAAGACGAAGCATGTCGCGGGCAACTGTTGCAAGAAAAGGCATCTTAGCAATCGAACTCGGTGCACAGTTCTATGTATATGTATATGTATATGTATGTGTATATGTATGTGTATGTGTATATGTATATGTATATGTACATGTATATGTATGAAAAACACACATACATACATACATACATACATACATACATCTCTATATATATTCAATATACATAGTAGTCTACGGTAAGATCCAAGTCAACAAGATGCAACAGTCTTGGAATTTGGATATGGGGCATTGCACCTTGGATTTTTGGCCCAACAAATCTTGGATCATGGAGTTGTGATGCTCGCGTTCGCTTGCCTATCTCCTTTGCGGGAGACCAAGGGAAATAGCATGTGTGTGTGTGGCACGTCGCTGCACATGCGGTCCGTCCATCGAACAGAGGAACACGAGAAACATGGTGCGTGTCGGCATGTTCTTGGACAAGAAGCAGAAGATTTGCGGAGGGAATCAAGTTTACGAAGAAAGGTTGAAAGCAGAGGGCACGAGCACGCTTCTGACAAAGAACACCATGGTGTCGTTGCGAAACTTCCAGGGACGCTTGTGTACCTGCAGTGAACGTTCATCATGTACAATGCTCGCTGTGTGAGTCGCTGTTGTACCAGCAGGCCCGGATGAAGCATTGACAACGTCTTTCTTCATGAATTTGCAGAGCAAGTGGTTTCTACGCTGCATGGAGCGATGGAGCATTTTTCAACTCTGCAACGTCGAAGCAGGGCATGGCTTGTCCAGCATTTGGATGGTTGTGTAAATCAGCATGATAAAAGCAAAACGTCCAGAACTGGAACGGTCAGTTCGCAGCATGATGACCGAAGCACACCCAGCAGTGCAACAATTTATTTGCAGCAAGATGTCATAATCTAGAACTTGCAAACAGCAGCTGTGCAAACAGTTGAACAGTCCTGAACTTTTCGGGCTGCCGACTTTCGTTCCAAACCTAGAAGCCTTGAAGCAATAACCGAGCATTGATTGTGTCCACACGAGCACGCTTGAAATATGCTAAGGACGGGACTCCGACTCCTGACTCACTCTCAGGCAGCAGCCTATGGTCACATCTCCACGCAGCACGGCAGTCGGGTGGACTGTCGCAGGTGTCCTTACCACCGAAGCCGCGTGGGCGGACGACAATTCTCAAAGGCATGGCGTGGGGATTTCCGATTGCTGTCAGGATCCTACAATCGGAGCACCATAAACCTAAACTAAAGTCCTGAATTGGCTTCGACCCGAGCCCTTCGCCACAGCTCCAAACAGGGACATGGGCGTCTGACCCTGCCGGGGGGTCGTCGTCTGGCTGTGAGGCGACCTGCGGGAATGATGCTGGGCTTCGGGTTTTGGGTGGCGCGTTTGGGTGTTAGGTGCGCTGGCGGATTTTCATCAGCATCATGGGGGTGAGGCAGAATTCTGACAAACCCCGAACCTGAACTGCCCCACCAGGGCCCACCATTCATTTCAAGCGTGCACAAGGTACAAAAATGATTGCACTTGAACCCTGGGAGGCTGGTAGAAGCATGGGTAGTTGCAATTAGGGTTACAAGTGAAGTAACTATACTTAGGGGACTTATAACCCTTGCAACTACCCATGAACCTCTAAGTGCGCTTGGGGAACAACCCAGCCGTCTCTTCCACTCCATCGCTGTCATCGGTTCAGGCACGTGTTGAGGGCCAATCTGACGAACCCTACTAACCCTCCCTAAACCCTGAACCCTGTCCTGAACCCTGAACCCTGAACCCTAAACCCTAAACCCTGAGCCCTAAACCCTGCAAGTGTGAACCCATCACAGGGGAACCTCGGGTCGTTGTGGGGCCACACTGTCCGGGACCGCCTCTCAGGAAATCTGCTTGACAGGCGCTCCCAAGCTTTGTTTAGGGTTTAGGGTTTTCGCTTTAGGGTTTCGGGTTTAGGGCGTGTTTCGGCTTGGGGTCCGCCGACCCTGAACCCTCCTCCCTCCCCCTCCAAACCTCAAAACGGGGGTCGGTGCAATGGAGGACCACGCCGCCCGCACGCCGTGAACTCACGGACCAGGGCGGTTCAGCACAGGAGGTAGGGGCTCCTTTGGCAAACCCCGCCCCCCCCTCCCGGCTCAGGCCGCCGACCCTAGAGGCCCTTGACCTCTCAACCCCCCAAGCCCAATTCTCCCAGAAGCCCCTCTGTTCTTGGGGAGCTTCTTGGTCCTGGCTGTGGGGGGTGGGAGGTGTGGGGTTGGGGCAGGGAGGGCAGGGGGGGGGGGGGGGGGGGGGCGTTTCAAGGCGCCTCCTTGGAGAAGGTCACTAGTCGGCCAGAGGACAGGGGGCAGAGGGGGGGGCGGGGGCAGGGAGGGGAGGGGCAGAGCAGGGGAGGTGGGGGGGAGGGGGGTTTTTTGAGGGGTTTCTCATTGGAAAGGGCGTATGGAGTTTCGGGATTTCGGGGCTCTAGTGTTGATTCCGGGCAGTCGTATGGAGAAGACGCTCTGTATCGGGGTCAGCGCACTTGGCTGCAAAAACCAAAGTATCGAAACTCGAACACGCTAATCCCGTTCAGTCTTGATACTTTCGGGCGAGCCTGAAGCAGAATCCGAAATCTTCCAACACAAGCCGGGTGGAAGGGTCGCCCCTCGCTAGAAGCGCGCGGCCCCGCATCCCCTCGTAGACCCCGAGACGAGTGGGTCTCGGGGCGCCTTAAAGCCGCCAAACGTAACATGAAGTAAAGTAAAGCAACTCATCTACTTGAACGTCCCCCCCCCCCCCCCCATTCCCACAAAAATGTATCCTGCCAACAAAGCCCTTCCTCCAGTCTGGGGTGCCTCCGGACCAGTGCGGCATTGAAGCCGCTGCAGCTGCTGTGACCTGAGGCTTGAGTCGGGGTTTGGGGGGGGTTTGGGGGGGGTTTGGGGGGGGTTTGGGGGGGGTTTGGGGGGGGTTTGGGGGGGGGGGGGGTTGGGGGGGGTTTGGGGGGGGGTGGGGGGGGTTTGGGGGGGGGTTGGGGGGGGGGGTTGGGGGGGGTTTGGGGGGTTTGGGGGTTTGGGGGTTTGGGGGGGGTTTGGGGGGGTTTGGGGGGGTTTGGGGGGGGGTTTGGGTGGGGTTTGGGGGGGGGGGTGGGGAAGTTTCGAAGTGGGCTCGAAGTTTGCTTCTACAAGGTTCGGGACGTGGGGCTGGCCGGACTTCATGCGACAGGGAGATGACCATGAAAAGAAGGTACCTGTGCACTATCCAAGGGGGGCCTGATGGCTGCTTGAAATTGGAAGCTCAGTGAGGCCTTACAGATGTACGTCGTCCAGGGTGACGCTGGGTACTTGAGCTTAGGATGCAAGCTACTCCAGTCAGTGGGACTCCTTGAAGAATGTGAGTAGTTCCCTGAAATTGGGGTCCCTTTTGGGGGGTCCTAGGTGGAACCCGAAAGGGAACCTAATCTAGAGAACTACCCATGTGAGCCCTGCTGCCGTTCAAGCTCGTGGTGCAAGGCGGAGAGTTCTCCAGCCGGTGCATTAATTGGATTTAAAACGCCCAGCATTGTGGGAGTGTCAAGAGTTCGAGCAGCCTCTCACCCAGTAAACTTCTTCATGTCCATGGCACACAAGTAAACAGTCTTGAAGTACTTGAAGAACTCTTCTTTACTGACCTGCCAAGCCGAGGGCCCACATCAGAGACCCCCACGCCCCGAAGAACCCCAGTCACCCACGAGACGATCCCACGCCCCCAGGCTCGAATGCACAAAAGCAGTAAGGTTAAATTGACAGACAGCCCTGCAAGAAGGCGGGCATTAAGAAAGTACACTCCGCATGGTGCACACTCAATACCTACTGCAAAAGGGTGGTAGTCCGGACAACCCACTGACTACTCTGACTACTCAAACTCCTACGGATGATTCACCTAACTCTGTCATCGCTATAGGCTTGCGGTTCTCAGCATGGGGTTTCAAATTTTGAAGCGCAGAAGTTAAGGAACAGAAACTGACAAACCGAATGGACGAAAGTACAGCTTTGGACTTAGCTCCAAAGGGAACCCTAAACCCTAAACCCTAAACCCTAAACCCTAAACCCTAAACCCTAAACCCTAAACCCTAAACCCTAAACCCTAAACCCCCCTAAACCCTAAACCCTAAACCCTAAACCCTAAAAACCCTAAAAACCCTAAAAACCCTAAAAACCCTATAAACCCTATAAACCCTAAACCCTAAACCCTAAACCCTAAACCCTAAACCCTAAACCCTAAACCCTAACCCTAAACCCTAGACCCTAAACCCTGCGATCGCCCACAGCTAGGCCCTATGCAGCTAGGCCGAGGAGCCCAGAACACGCCGTCGTTGGCATTAACAGGCTGGCAGACCGCGGCGACCTTTTGGACACGCATTCTCATGATTGGGGGAACTCTTGCGCAAGTGCAGCGGTTTGTAGCAGGAGAAACGAAACTGCAGATTCTTCTGCAGTCCTGCTACTTCAAGACGTTAAGAGAATCCAGACCTCAAGCTTAACACTATTGGTTCACTGCTCTTAAACTACACGTTCATCAACGATCTGTCCTTGCAGGGTTGGCCTAGGGCTTCAATGATCACCTATACTGCGAAGCTGCATCCTGAACTCCTGAAACCACGCTCTGACCCGAAACCCCAGAATCCTAAATTATCTGGCTCGCATTGAACACCCCACATGCACCCAAACCAACCATGTCCTAGGGCCTATAAGGTAAACAGTAGCCTAAACCCTTATGACCACCCTAAACCAAAAACAGCCCAAGACGGAAGGCCTCCGGATGCTTTTTCCATCCGGGCCCGTCGTCGCACCACTCGCCCGAGGTGAACTCACCCCGACCCCAAGGATTCCGTACCTGCAGGTTGAGGGCCCTGGGGAGCTTCTTGTCTACTGGAGTCTTGCTGTTCTGTGTCGGATTAGCTTCAGCGCCCTTTCAAGAGAAATTTTGAGTAGGCAGCCTTGATTAGGTCATGGGTGGTGCCAGCCACATCGTTCAAGCACGTGATCACGGTATAGGCATGGCCGTCCACAATCCCGTCTGTGTCGTTGTTGTCGAAGCCCGGCTTGGAACCGGCGGCCATGACATAATTCTGGTCGTCCCAGGCGCACATGCGCTCGAACCTCGTGGAAGTCTTCACACCAAGCCAAGACTCAGCAAGGCCCCTGGACTCAAAGCGCTCTACAAGATCTGTGCGGGCAAGCTGCATTTCATTGTGGCCACATTTGGTGCGCTTGTCCCCTCCCCCGCCCACTTCCGGCCAATCCATGCGCCAAATATTTTGAGAGCTCTTCTTGATGGAGTTCTCCATGTGCTCCCAACTGTCCGTATTAGGGTTGAACTTTCCCCAGCCTTGGAAGGCAAACGACGAACTGATGAAACCAGAAAGTGAAAATTGGACTCGAAGCAAGATGCCAGATATCGTGCAGGCACAGCAGCATTCAAAGCCATCGCCGTCATCCATGAAAACATACCTGCAAAGCCAAGAGCAGCACAAGACTCTTACAAGACGTCTTTGTCATGATCATGGCAAGCCGAAGCCGAGAGGCTGCTGCTTTGACCATGATCTGCAAGCTACTGAATCCCAAACAGGGCACTACTTGATTCTACCTGGTGCTCAGCAACTCTATCACTGCCCTTGATGTTGACCCATACACATACGGTGCCACCACAAAGGACCTGATCTTGATTGAACCTCGACAGAATCCAGACAGCGGTTTCGGCGGTCCAGACCCTTTCATGCCCCTCGTTTCTTTTTCAGGTTGGAGGGAAGGGCTTGGGATGTTTCACAAATTTCCCACATGCAGTGAATCCCGGAATGGGGTCGAAGGTGAGCGCGTGGATGAGTTGAACGGCAGGGCACTGGTCATTGCAGCCGGTGAGTATGCGCCAGGCATGGGGGCATTGTCCTCCATCCAGCTCGTCCCATCCACCGCAGTGGATAGCAACCGCCTGTGCAATGGCCCCGTTTGGTGCCCCCTTGCAGCATCACCACATATCAAAGCACTTCAGACCTGAAGGTGGAGGGCTTAAGGGCCTTTGGACTTCCCGATTGAACCATCATGTGATTGACGAACTCTGGGCACCGAGGCCTTCTCGAGGTAGCATGCCCACAGCTCCCCGTCGTAGCTTGGATGCCCACCTGTCTCAGTAGACTCAAGCCAGGTTCGGGAGTTTACGCATGAGTTGTGGCCGGCATTGAAATCCAGACAGAGTTGATCTAGATTACTTTGTCCCGGAAAGGTATCTTTCGCCAAAATATGCCACAATGAAATTTCCCTTCGCGGAACCTTGGCGCGCCTAGTCGCGTGCACTCCTGAACCCCAAGACCTGTAATCACATCCATGGCGCCTACGTACTACAGCTACACATGTGCACACTTGTTGAGCAGATGCCACGTGGGCTGGGCCCTTCATGGGATACGGTAGACTTTCGCGGGACTTTCGCAGAGCTTGCGCCAATCTTTCGCAAATTTTAGGGTTCAAACCCTAAACACCAAATAAACCATAGACCCTCGCGGCTGGGGGTAGTGTGGTCCGAACGAGGCTTTCAGCCAGCTGGGCGTGAGCGAGCCTTATGCCGCGGATGCATAGCAAACAGGTGCCTTGCGTCAAAACTTTCGCCGACAAATTTCCTGTTGCACACCCTCTTCGCGGATCTTCTGCGGACACTTATACATCCGTGACATGTAAATTGTATATGAGACTCCTTACAAAGGCCAGCTACAATGGTACATCGCATGGCAACATCCAGGCACTCACTGTCTCTCACTTTGGCCGCACCTAGGAGATCACTCCCATCAGGTAGCATGCACAGCCGCTCGTCAATCTCGATGTCCACAGGAGACCAGGACTTCCTTTGAAGCGGGTCTAACAGGTGCTTGTACAATCCCATGGCACTCAGTCCAGTCAGCGTCTCATGCATGGCTCCCGTCAGCTGGCCATGCGACGAACAAGAGTGGGCGGATGGCCACGGAAGCTAGCGCAGGAAAGCTTCAGGGAAACCCCGGAACACGCCTGGCGCGAGACCCTTCTTGCATCCCCCCCCCGCCCCCCCCCCCGGCCTTGTGGGGTGGTGGGGCGGAAGTGGCGGTGGGGAGGCCCATCTGCTTCCCTTCACAGCATCAATGAGTCCAGGGGCCGCAGTCTCCCTGCTTCCCTCCACCCTCCCACGCCGGCAGTGTTAATTGTTTTGAGAATGTGAACACTGTTGTGGCTTCCGGCCTACAGCTCGCCTATGGCAGCTCCCGCCTCACATTCAGATGATGTCTCCCTTTCGGGCAAGTCGGCCAGTGATCACAAGATCCGCCGGTATCAAAAAAAACTCTTATGTCTATCATCGCAACAACATAGCGAGAGAGAGAGAGAGAGCAGACCGCATTCTGCCAGGCTGCAAGTCGTACAGAGTCACGGTGTACTTGGTGGGTGTGTCGCGGGGCAGGCTCTTGAGTCGATCCGTTTTTCGAAAGATCTTCGCGACGGCACCCTCAAACCTGAAAGCATGCTCCACTTGTCACACAACATGTATTGTGTACATGCATTGCATATACTACGTAGCATGCTTTTTGTTACGATTCTAGCATATGTGTGTATATATGTATATGGATATTTTACATATGTGAGTGTGCGCCCTAATAGTGGAAAAGTCTGTTTTGCGTATAATATAAGTCATCATGTATACCGTATACACACACTAAATACTAATTCTTATACATTTTCAACAAATCATTATAAGCTATATATATATATATGATCATATGTTACATACAGATTTGTATGTGATTTACATTTCCTACTAAAAAATCAGTTATACATCATAAAGTACTGTACTGGCGTATATGGTAGTATACCATTTTCGTTCCTTTTAAAATAGCTGGAATACACATATGTATATGGTGTATATGAGTTCTTTTGTACTAATATTAAATATATACACACACACTACATTCCAAAATACACGAAGAAACAAATCTATGCCTGCATATATATATATATATATATATGTGTGTGTGTGTGTGAGATTACTTGTAAGAAGTTACAATATGGAACATATTCTGTGTTGTAGACGCCATAAATGAAAACTCTGTGTCTGGCATACTACATATTCACATTAATTAATGCAGAAGCAAAACGTGTGTACCTATACATATAATAAATATATATTTATATATATATACATACATACATACATACATACATACATACATACATACATACATACATACATACATACATACATACATGTACGGCTGCATGTATAGACATACGGCGTAATTATATCAACTTGTCTACTGTATACTATTGTTCTACATTCTGCATTACACGCAAGTATCTTATATGTTGCAAGCAGCTTAAGGAATTCCAACGCAGTTCAACACTGTAGTAGATGGGGTGCGGAAGGTTCGTGTTCCATGAATCTAAGCACGCGCCCCCGCGCTGCAAAGCAAACTATATGCCACACTGGAGGCAACGACACTGAATCTGCTCGTAACCGCCAAACTGACATCATATCATATCTGCTCGGCTGAGTAGTTATAAAGCTCTGACAGCACCATTGCCATCGTTGTGTTGTCCCGGCTCGTGCAATGGGTAAAAGTGTTTCGTGCCTACAAGCAACTCGGAGAGCGCAGAGATGGCGGAGAGCAGCCAGCAGTCGCCGACAGAACCTTGGACGATGTCGTCGGGGTGGATCTCACCGATGAGTTTGATGTGGGGCACATCACAGATACCCTGACCCCGTCCCGGATGGCAGGCAGGAGCCAACTTTTGCCCACGGAAGCTCATCTTATCAGTGAACGCATCACGCTCGAAGTCGCCGATCTCCGAGTGGGGCTTTAGCGCCACATACTTGGCCTGTACGAAGGTGAAGTTGGGCTCTGAACCAGGCTTGAACCTGTAGCCACTGCCTGTTCGCTTGATGAGGTCATACTTCTGGTGCTCCTTTGGCCACTCCTGCAGTCGACATCTCTTAAGCAACCAGGCATTCAAATAGGAATAGAGACCCTTCTGTCAGAGGTTTGTCTCTCCAAGCCCGAGACCCTTGAACCCAAACGGCCAAGGTGCCGTCATGTTGGTCTGGTACATCCTTGGGTGATGGTTGCTGAGGCAACGATTGAGCTCGGTTGTTCTCCCTGTTGTCCCCAATTTCCTGGTTCATCGATTTCTTGCCGCCCCAAGCTTAAAGTAAAAGCAATGAACATGCCCCCAAGTACGTGCGAGCCTCATTCCCTCAAAGTCCGACGGGCTCTCCTTGAGCTTGGCCCGGCCTTCCGCGATGGGTCCGTTGACCTTCTCGATGACCGGCTGGAACTTGAAGAAGAAGGAGCCTGATAGAAAAGATGGGAGAGCTGTTGTCATCCCTGCATTCTGCTTGGCTTTGCTCAGTGAGGGCCTGGGCCGGCCAGCTCCTCATACTGCCAGTTCTGGCTCCTGCAAGAGAGCAGCAGCGACAGGGATGAGGGAAAGACAAGACCAAGCGCAAGGCAAGCAAAGCAACCTGCCTGCGGCCAAACCTAACCCCCAAATCATACTTGTAAGCCTAACCCCATACCCCTAATAATCGCCCTGAACCCCTAAATCCCACAAAAAAGGCCTACAGTAGCCTTACAGCGTCCTGGCTTTGCTCCAGTCGATGGCGTAGGGCTCGCTGAGCTCAGCTCCCGTGCTGCGCATGGCTTTCTCCTGTTGCATCTGGGAAGAGGTTTAGGGTTTAGGGTTTATGGGCATGCGAGTCCCGAAGCACGTCTCAGCTTCTTCAACTTTAGTGGAGTGGAAGATGGCAGGTCTCAAGAAGGCTCCGTCACCAGCCTGCCAGCCCACAAAAAAGCCTGCGAAAGCCTTGACCTCGCATTAATCACCCGCAGATTTTTCCAGCCTACCTACAGAATTTTACTCCTTATTGGCGGCAATTCAAACCATCTGCACTCCGATCATCGCACATGTCCTCTCACAAGTAGCCTGATCTACACAGGAGTACGACCACGCGTCGGCATGGATAAAGTTGCACGGCTACGAGCAGTCTCACCTGCAGCATGTCCACCCTCGAACACCCTGAAGCCTAAACACCCCTAAGCTGTGAACTCCCGAAACCAAACCAAGGTGATTCCACGCTCTCCTCGCGCTTGCGGCGCATCGCCCGGATGTTGGCAAAGCTGAACTCAAAGCCTGACACCGCTTGGAAGTATCTAGGGTTTGGATGATTTGCAGGTAGCAAAAGTTAATAGCGAGACGGATGTGGTCGCTGGGTTAGGGGCCGGCGGAAAAAATGATCGCGAAGGCTTGCGAGTCCCAAGAAGGTGAGGCGAAGGTTTGAAAGAGCACGGCAGGCTTGCGAAGCGTTCGCGAGGCCAAAAATGCCGCCAAGGCTTGCGGACCCCAAGGGCATGTGAAGGTTTTTTGGACTTTGCGAAGGCACGGGCTGAGCCCGCAAAGTAGTTGGCCGCGTCCGTTTTGCCCTGAAAAGTTGGGGAATACAGCTCGGGGGAGTCGAAAACATGGAGGCAACGTGGGCAGAAGGCATCTGGCGTCGAGGGTCGGAGTGAGGGTTGGGACGACCACACATCGGGTGCGGAATCCGGAACTATGCCAGCGAAGAGTTGCAGCCAGTTCACTCAGGGATGACATGGATGAAACGTCTAAACAACACCAACCAAAACAAAACAATGGAACCCTAAGCATGTGAATATGGTGAGTGTGGGATTCTTTTGTCAAGAGGTGTGGTGGGTGTCTCTTGTAGCTACGTAGAGCGAGCTTGGGATGCTTGCTCCCATACTCGAGTAGGAAGCGAATAGGCACAGTTTTCAGAATTCCTGCCCGGTGCCGTCGGGAACTTGAAACTTTGGATCGTAAACATGGCGCGAAATCGCGTCGATCGCGTCATAGGAATAAACGCCTGCTAGCAACGCCAAAGAAGCCAGACAGTTCGTTCCCGCTGTGCCTTTGCCATCCGTGCCGGTGGTGTAGCAGATGTTTCCCATGGCGTCGAAGCGACGCTGCTCAACGAGCAGGCAGGCTGAACTGGGTGTAAGACGAGTCTCGCTCAGCTGATATTTGTGGATCTGCTTCAGGCAATTTTGTGCTTTTAGGGCGCACTCTGCAAACCTCGAACTACATGTGGAACCGAAGACAAGAACGCACATGCACTTGGTTGCAAGCCGAGAGAAGCAGCGCAGGGGATTTGCATGAGAAGTAGTCCAATTTCCGATTTTACAACCCTCTAATCCTATGCAACTAAGGGAGACTTTGATTGGGCCTGGGTTTTTGGAGGGCACTTCTTGTTGATTGAACAGGCTGTGCCCAGATCGCCCCTGACTTGGCCGTGTCCACGCTTCCCTGTCCAAACCGTTTTAAACTGAAGCGGAGAGCTTGATCATATCTAGATGGCGATGTGGAGGCTGCTTGAATACTCGACATGTCATTGAGACGCTGCTTGTAACAAGAGGCATTCCTCGTTGCATGATTCAATCTGAGCACAGCTAGTCACGCAGCTAGTCGTCTATACTAAGTCGTGGATGAGGTAACTGTGCCAGGGACAGCTCCGCGATGGACGGTGCGTCGAAAAGCAGCTGTGCTGGTATCGGAACACCTCGCAGTTGCAAGGCCGCGAAGTCTGAGATTCCACAGCACAGCTCTGGAGAAATCGAGAAAAAAGAGGAATAGCAACATCCCGCTTCCCACATGCAGGCCTGGCAGCAGATGCAGAAGGCTCTGGCGCAGGAGCATCCACTCCTTCCAGAGGTGCAGACTAGCAGGACAAGAACAAGATCGACGACCAACAGCAGCAGTAAACTCAAGAGCGCAAGCGCTGAAGCCGACAGTCCCTGATTCCTGCTTCCTAGGCTGAGAGTTCAGGGTTTGTGCACTCATTATCACTCATTGCCTGGGCGATTAAAACCCTGAAGTCACTCGAATCCCCTCAAGACACTTTTGGGGGTCCGGACCTTCAAAACGCGACCCCCTTAACCCCGCAGCAGCATGTTGGGAAGGAGCTCCAAAGACGCAACGCCCAGCGTAGCCAGATTGGACATCAAGAGCCTTAATCTTGGCATCTCGGCATCTCGACAGCTCCTACACTGTCCTACACCGTACTACCAGAGCTTGGTTGCGTTTTTGTTTCCCTAAGATTCAGTACAGGTTGGAGTTCATTTCCAATGTTCCATTTGGCTTTGCGGGGCTTGGTGAGCTTGAGCTTCTGGTTCAGGCGTGGCAGTAGTGCTCAAGGCAGCTAGGCCACCAACTACAGAAATCGAATATGCTCACCCGACAGCACCAGAACTTCGACCGACTGTCTGGAAGTCAACTTTGATGCTTAAGGTGCAGCTTTCAGGTTTTCACTACAAGACTCCTGTGGATCGCATTCCACTGAGAAAGTCTCTCGCACGCCACAAAGTGCTTCACCTGCCCTCAAGGCGGCAGCTCTATTCCAAGCCCAGATACTCTTCGTCTGCAGCCGTCTGGGTCCTCAAGGGTGAGGGTCCAGTCAAGGTCTCTGTCCGGATGGGAGAAGGGCTCTACGAGACTCTAATCAAGATAGGAATAAATGCAAAAATAATAATAAAAATACATATAAATATATTTATATAATTATCAATATAAACATAAACATAAATATAAATATAAATATAGATAAATAGATAAATAGATAAATAGATAAATAAATATATATATATATATATGTATAAATATGTTTTTTGTTTTTCGTCCGACCCATCCTGGATTGGAGCCGGTCCGCGGCCGCCTGCAGCGCGGTGCGCGAGGCCGGGCGCACCCGCGCCTTCGGCGGAGTCGGAAAGCGGCGACAACACGTCGTGCTCGGGTTTCAGAAACTCGCGGGGTGGTCGAGGGTTTGTAAAGTATAGTTGCTAATTGCTAATTCAACCAAATTCGTAACTGCGTGTTAGTTACATGCAACTTCAGGTTGGGAGTTTTGGGGGATCCTGGAGCTTGTTTTGTGCAGTGGAGCAGCCTGCTGCAGCCTGCTGGCCACAAGTGCGCCACTTGTTCCGGGACCGTGCAAGATACTGGGGACCGTGCAATCGCTCGAATGATTTCGACTTGCAGCCGCCGATGGTCCTGCATGACATTTCTCAAACCCTAGAGCCCAAACCCGAAAACCTAGAAGGAAGGACAGTCCCCACATGGGTGGGAGCTCCAAAGACGGGAGACGGAAGCCAACGTTCAAACGTTTTGGGGCCTTAGGCATTCAGGGACAATGACTGGTCCCTGAACATTCTGATGATGCTGATGGCGAATAGACCCTGGAGGGAAATCAAAAAATGTTGACCATGAGAGAGCAAACTTCGCTTGGCCTGCAATGACCTTCATCCCATCTCGATGTGTGAAGCAAGTGAAACGAGGATGAAGACTGAACATGCAGGCTCTGTTGGTTTTCGGCAGGCCCCTGCCCGCCTTGCCCCCACGACAGACCACAATTCCCTACAAAACAGAAACCTTCCTCAACCCACATAGTCCCGCGTGAGTAGGCCAAGAACTGAAGTACTAGAAAGCAAAGTCCTTCTCTGCCGAAAGACTGAAAACGAGCAGCTCGCGCAAGGATGCGAAATTGCCCCAATAATGGATATTTTGCTGTTTATGCAAGGGTCTAATAAACATGCTGAGACTGCTAAGTTGGGAACTTTAACATTTTGCGAGGAGGCCTCGACGGACCTTCTCGGCGCGGATGACATTTTGAAATTTCGTTTGTTGCTAAAGCAACTATTTCGTATCCTGGAAGCTTATGGCCAGCTTCAGCGAAGTAGAATAGTTGCATGGGGTTCAACAGAAAGCCAACGTTGTATGAAAGAGTATGCTTCGGCTAATCATGTGGAACCAGAACGTCATTTGCAACTTTCGATTTCGAGCTTAACCGAAATGCAATCAAGACAGTAGTCAGAATTTTGTCACCAGCGTACAGATGAGAGGCCCAGCATTCGCTCTACGTTGCAACGAGGTGGAAATCTGCATCCTAAATCCTAAACCCCCTAAACCCTGTGGTCCATGAAGGTCGCTTCCGGAGGCTCTGGCTCCACGGACCTCCACTGGACGTGGGGGCTTGGTTTGAGGGGCAAGGAGCCTGTCAAACAAGCAAAATCCATGTTGTCTTATTATCTGAGTATTGTTATTGATGCTAGTATATCATGGTATATTGTGGTAGCAGAGTATATACTACGTTGTATAGCTGTAAGGCGTTTGGCAACTTACAAGCCCATGACATGCCCGCGGAGTGCACAGAGCTACGACAATCTGCTCTTGACAAGTGCCGAATATCCCGACAGGTCGAGACTCAGTCCCCCAACCGTCCTACTGTTCCTAATTTGCTTAGGGCTCTTGGATGGAAATCATACATGACAGAGTTGCGCTGGGAATCTGTAATTCTCTGTGAGGTACGACTATGACGAACTGGCTTTGGCCCCTGATCCCACAGTGCACAGGTACAGGTGGCCTTTCTGGCCGGTCATTGGCCTGCACTTCGATGTCTTGGGAATTGGGCTCAAGGGCTCAATTTGAGTTGGATGCTGCAGGATCATGTCTAACAAACGGCAACAACACACCCGTAGTGCCAGATATGTGTCCGGTCGGCAATCTCGACACAAGCACAATCGACACCCGTCGAGGGCCAACCTTTCGAGAACCTGTACATCTCATAGGCCCCACTAATCTGCTTGCAAGAAAACCGCATAATCACGCATCCTGACTAAGCAAAATCTCCCCTCCGGCTTGAACTCAAAACTTCGAACGCTGAAATCAATGAAGATTCAAAACCTCCCGGACAAATGCCTGCGTAGATTCCATGCCCCGCGGCATTCTCTGGGGGTGGGCACCGCACAATTTTTTGCATGGAGGTTGGTACTCCAAAGGCGGAGACCCGTGAACCCTGAAGTTTTTGGGAAGCTGAGAAGCCATATAATCATTGTGCATTTTGGTGACGGTTACTTTCATAGCAGGAACTTAAGCCCTTGAAGGGCAAAAGGGTACTGCTGGTCGACGTCAAATCCGAAGCCCAACCCCTGAGACATGCTAGAGGTCATAGAGCTCCCAACTCATCCCTAACGGCAGCTTCTTCTTGGGGCTTCAAGAGCAAAAATCACTCATGATGAACCCCTTGGGCATCTAAAACGCACCCCAAACCCCAACCCCTCAACCCCCGAACCCCCCAAACCCTACGAGCCCTACTTGACCCATGCCCATGCCTCCCCTTGAGCCGCCGCCACAAACCTGCGAAGGGATGCGGCAGCGGCGTCGCGCAACTCGGGAAGCCGGTGGCTGCCCTCCTTAGGCAGGGTTACAGGCGTTCTAGGGTTTAGGGTGTAGGCGGTATAGGGTTTAAAGGTTTTAAGGGTTTAATTGAATTCAGGGTTATGGGATTTGAACTTAAGGTTATGGGGTTTAGGTTTCGTGTAAGCCTTTCGACTCACCTACTTTCGGTTTTCATGCCAGCTTGAACTCAAAACTTTGGCAAGCATTGCTACTCAGCTGCTACTCTCGGAGTCCAATTATTCACCTAAGAAATCCTGAACCCTGAACCCTAAACCCTAAACCCTAAACCCTAATTCTAAACCAAGGGTTGCTGCCGCGTGTCAATGTCCATCCTTTCCTTCAGGGCACCGTCCCAGCAGGGAAGGCCCGGAAAGGCCCGTGCTGCTGCGTCCTCTGCATATTATGGTAATGAGAAGTCTTCGGGGCCAAAAGTGAACCGAAAAAAGGGAACTGTTAAAACGGGAAGCCTTTCTGCAAGCCACGCGAATGAAGAAATTAGCCACAGCCGGGAAGCACTCTTCGGATCTTGCCATGTCTAAACCCTAAACCCTAAACCCCTAAACCCCTAAACCCCTAAATCCCTAAACCCCTAAACCCCTAAACCCCTAAACGATGCAAGCCCTGACAAAGCAGGTCCTCCTCCATCCCCACGAAGTGGAAGGAAGGAACACCTCCCGCGAATCATGGACAACTTGCGCATGCCAGGATATGGACCTGTATAAAGTCATTACACAAAATTACTATCTACTCACTACAGTTGTTCTTATTGTGTGGCGTTCAGACTTTATCAACATTCTGACGATTTCTTGCATCAACCTGCACGCGACCCTGGGCCCTTTAGCGCCCCAGACTTCTGCGGAAGGACAGCGCTGGATGACTGACAATGCGGCTATCTGGCCTGCAGCTTGGCGATACGAGCTGCTCTGCGGATCCGGGGCCGCGTAGCCGCCTTCAAGGACAAGCTCTGAAGGGCTCGGGGGATTTGCGACTCGAAGATGAAGACGAAACACAACTCTGCTGCAGCTACTTGGCCGACAGGAGGCCTCAGATAAGCCCCCCTGACAAACTCACCATAGCCCACAAGGCCGTAGCCCTACATCCTGTCAATGTGCTGCTTCTGCTCTCATTCTCCCTGTGCCCTCAAGAGCGCCTATGGAAATCAGCAGCCGGGGAGGTGGCGCCAGGTGGCCGGACAGCACTGCCAGGGCTGCTGCGGAGGCGCCCTGGCGTGCTTGCTTTCGGGCATTTTTTTGCCGGGTTTATATAGGGTTTAAGGCGTCAAGGATCCAGCGGCCGCAAATAGACTCTAAAGACACAGGGTTTGCACAGGTCGGGTTTTTTGAGATTCACGGTTGCGCTGAAGCGGCTTTGGGCAGCGGGGGCCGCGAGCCTCGCAAAGTCCAGCGATGCCATCGAAGGGCCCCCAGTTTCGCCAAACATGCGAAATCAATGACCTGGGAAATGCCACCTACGGTTCTTTGCGGCATGGTCATATACCTGAAGTTGAAAGCCGTGCGATGTCCCACGTGACCAGGTCTAAGTGTGACATGCCCAAGCGTTCGTTGCAGATTACTTCCGGTTCTCGGAGGCCCCGGCAAGCTTTGCATCCACTGCCACTGCTGGCCTTCCTCGCGGGGCAGGCACCATTGCCGGTAGGTGCCTTCGGGGTCATACCAGCCTGCAGGATGGGCTCTTGGGCTCGGCTTCGGGACACGTGCAGATACGTGCAGTTCCATTGAAGTTGAACAGCAGCTTCGAAGGCAGCGACTTGACATTTTGAAAACTCCCGAATTGCAGATGCCTGCGCGAACTGCGCTCTCGAAGAGCTCGGCGTCTGCCACGTCCGCATGGGGCGCGTCAACCAAAGCCATCTCAAACAAGGGCACCCTTGGTGCAATGATCGGCGAAACAGTATAAGAGGAGAGACCAACTAGTTCTACTGTCTTCTGCTGCTTGGACTGCGACTCAATGCCACTGCGCTGCGTAAGGCCTTCTGTGGTGGGACCCATGCCGAGTGCCTGGCTGTGAGCCCTCCCGCCGCTTCAGGCTGGACCAAGACGTGACCTCTTCAACTCCAATCTTGGGTTGGGTTTAGGCGGTTTAGGGCTTTTCTGGACTTCTGTATTCTACACATTAAACATCTGATGTTTATGTTTAGTTGAGGCAGCCCCCCCTCCTCCAAGAAGCGGCGCGTTGTGGCCGCGTCGGACCGCGCGCCGTGCAGGAAGAGGAGCCGGCAGGGGCCTTTCTTTCAGCCGACGCTGGAACTTCTGAGGATGCAAGATGGATCAAAGATGGTATAGAGGGCCCCCAGTGTGGTGCGTTCACCACAAATTTGATCCTGGAACTTCCCAAGTAATTCGACCGGAAGCCAGGGCCCGGACGGCCCTCCGACCAGCCCGCTGCGGACAGCACCTTGGGATCCCAGTGATCGGACGTCGTCACCTGCGAGCTCAGGGGGTTCCGGAACCCTTGTTGGGAACCTCCTGTGGTGGGGTTGTGGACTGCGGGCTTCGAGGTTTCGAGTTTTGCGCCTGCTGGCGTTTGCTTCGTGGCTTTGGGGGTCTACAGGTCTTGGAAGTGCTTGAGTTGGAGTCGCATGGAGTCGTTGTAGCTGGAATGATCCGGGGCAGTGCTTGATTTAGCAGGCGGCAGGCGCGCGACTGGTCCATTTTGGGTATTGTGCGCTTATGCCTGGGTCTTGGGTGGGCCCCCTGTGAGAGGAAACTGCACGCGGAATGTTTCTTGGTTCATCTTCAACCGTCTCTCCCAGCGTTTGGCCCGACACCCTGGAACATCGTCTTCCCAAAGCGTTGCGAGCGAAGAAACAAAATGGCCCGAAGCACAAGATTGAGGAGACACTTGCACCACCAAAACTGCCGCTAAAAGACTGCCTTCTATCATCTGGCGAAAATCATCTTTGGTTGTATCGTAACCCTGGGACCCTTGTCCAAACTCTTGCCCTTGGCAGTCCCACACTAGTTGTACAGATCTTACCCTTTCCAAGTTCTCTGTGTGATTGCCGCACAATTAACACCCGATATTCAATCCATACACCCCTAGAGCTGTGAAACTGAAGACCGACCCTGAACTCTCTGGCCTACTGTACATCCTTGTGCTGTGCCTCTTGTGCCAGTCCTATCACTGAATCACTACACACTTGTGTGGATGTAGCCGGGCTCCTACATCCCCAAATGTAATTATACCACAGACAAAGAGACTCCAACTTCAAGACCAGTAGGCCTCCGAAAGGGAACTTCCAACTTAGGGTCTAGGCTCCAAAGAGACTGAGCCTCCGGTGGTGTCTGCTGTCCCTCCACCGGACTGTGTGAAGACCCACTGCTGGCCTCCAAGCAAGGGCTTAAGGTTTAGGGTACATAAGGATTTGAGGGTTTACGAAAATAGGAGACCCCTAAAAGAGACCCAGAATAGTAGGATGCCCGTTCTAAAAGGACCCCAATAAGGTACGCCCTAATTTCGGAAACCCCCATTTGGGGAAGGGTGGTTTTGTAGCTCATATGGCTGTGCCGCGCTGTGCCCCCAAACCATTTGGTCTCGTGACCAAGTTCATCAAGTATTTACGCGCATCATCCTGATCCTTGAAATTCCGAAACTGATTTTTTCAGTTGTCACGTTGGTCATCATGTCGTCTTCTCGGCCTTGAAAGTTAGTTTTTAACATGCATTGGTACTGGGTAAGCATACTGACATATCCTCTGCGTTCTGCGTGTTTGAAGGGTGTTTTGTTGATGGCATGCCATTTTTTGAAGGAGAAGAAATGAAAGCATGCAAGGCGTAACAGAGTGCGGCTGAAAGATCAATTCAGAGACCTCAACCCCCCCCCCCCAAAAAAAAAAAAAAAAAAAACTGTCTGTGGCCGTCCTGAGATTCTCTGCAGGTGGGGGGGGGGGGCTCCAGGGGTGCAGGGATTCCCTGTGAAGATTGTCTGCGAATCAGCGGAAGGCCGGTCGAGGTGTTTGGGGCGAGGATGATAGCTAGATGAGTCAAGACATAAAGCCTGTGACCCACAAAAAGGGCCAACAAAAAGACCTCCCCTGATAGCTGTTCGCCAACTACCCGAGTTCTTGCTTGCAGGCGAGAATCGGGTTGCTGCTCGCTGGAGGCTGCTGGGATCGCGGGCGCTGTCGCCGAGCTGGCGGGAGAGTCCTGCACGGCAGCGAGTGCCGCGAAAAAACGGCCATTTCAGGTCAGTGAGTCAGTGCCTGCTGGCCTTCAAGCGCGGCACGTCTGGATGCAGCTGGGCCATGAGGCGTTTTGCCAAACTTCGGGCAGTCGGGTAGTCCTTAGGTCATACCGTCTTCGATGCAAAAGCAGTATAGCAGCAGGCACCCATCCACCAATCAACTTGCGTTGGCTGCTACCGGTACCCGGTAGCATCAAAGACACTGGCCAAACGCTGTCAAGCTTCGAAGAGAAGGGAGGCTGAGAGCAACCGCGACGCCGGATCCCCGAGCCGGCGTGCCAGGGCCTGCCGCAGGTCTATCTGCGCCAGGGAATCCTTGGTTTTTCCAATTCCGTCATGCGTGCGGGCATAACTTTGTAGGGGAACTCCACTGGACTATCGACCCCCGAAGTCCAAGCCCCTCCACAGTTCCAATCGCCCGTCGCAACTTGAAGCTGCTGAATGGTTGATTCGATTCTCATAACAGGGCGGCAAGAAATCAGAGTAGCAGCCGTGGTGGAGAAACAAAAGAAGACAATTGCGGCCCGGCCGATCAAAACTCACCAAAAGCACATCAAAGCCCAGCCCCATACTCGCTATAAAACCCCCAACAAGGCCTAGAGCCTAAAGCCCATATCACGCCCCCTAGGAAGGCCCTGTAAACCCTAAACCCTACATTCCCACCCGGCCTGCTCAAGCCGCACCCACCCTTTTCTAGGCACCCGGCAACTTTCTTAAATGGACAATGGGTGGTGCTAATAGAGGGTGGTCGAATTCAGCCCTTCCGGCTGAGCCATCGACACTGAACCCTAAACCCTAAACCCTAAACCCTAAAGCCTAAACCCAAAAGCCTAAACCCTAAACCCTAAACCCTGAACCCTAAACCTTTCGGTCCCAGGCACCAAACCCAGGTCCAGAAGCGGTGTGTCCTGAGTAGCCCTAAAGTGTCTTTGAAACCACAGCAAGATCTTCTTGAGACTATCATGGTTTAGAGGGTTTTTGGTTTCAAAGGGAAGAAGGACTTGCAGGGGCATTTACAGGGATTTGGGGCTCATAGGGTCTTTTCAAGGCTTAGGACCTTCAACAACTACTTGCCAGTGCCTGTCTGATGCCATGGTCCATAATCGGGACCGTGTGCGTTTGTCCCGAAGGGTTTAAGTTTCGGGTTTTCCTAATCGCACAGCCTGAGCCACAAACCCCTTGCAAATCCTACGATATATTCACGCTGGATGCCCTATCCCTGAAGGCCGATAGAGCGCTCGAAACCCAAGCACCCTAACTCCGCACCCCCACATGCCCTCGAAGCCATTTGGAAGGAGCCCATAGAACCCGTAAACCCTACGCAGGAACAATGAACTCCAAGACCTAGCATTCCCAAGGCCGCAAGGCCACCAATGACCAAACAAAAAGTATTAAGGCCAAAACATGCCTCAATGCCCACAATCCCGAAGAGACTTGAACCCCCCTGGAACCCACCAAGGTTCTGCCGACAGCTCGACACCCTCGCCCAGCGCGGCCGTCGCGGCACTGAGGATGGCGGCCTCCAGCGCCTGCCCGGGCTTTAGGGTATTTAAGGCAACAGGGTTTCAGGCTTTATAGGAAGGAGCGGTATATAGCTTTAAGGATTCTGGGGCTTTCGGGCTTTCCTTTCAGGGTGTGACTAGGGTTTCGGGTTGAAGCCTGTACTTGCAGGTGCAGCCCATGATCCGAGATGTCCTGGAACCGAACACCTGTGCCTCGGAACAAAGCCCGGAAGATGCTAAGAAGGGCAACAGAAGCAGAGAAGCTCAAGTTCAATCCCCAAAGGAGCAGCGGAACGAAAGCGCAAAAACAGAATCGGAGATGTTCAGCTTAATTCAGGCTTCAGGTCCTTAGGTTCACGGAGTCTGCTATCGTTGCCTGCTGCGACAGCAGGACGGGCGCTCGGATGAGGGCCTGACAGGGCTTGCTACATTTGCTTAGAACGCGGCCCCGAAAGCCGCCAAAAGAGCCCCAGGGTTTAGGGTTCATCGGGTTTCATGGCCTGACTCGACAAGATCACGCTTAAGAAAGGCTCCCAAAAGCATGCGGGCAGCAAGGTTCTTTCAAGGCCGGGGGGAGGCTGACTTTCACTTTGATGTTAGCTGATCGCCAAAACTGGTATGCATCTTGGCCTCTGATATCAATACATAACCCTAAACCCTAAACCCTAAACCCCAAACCCCAAACCCTAAACCCTAAACCCTACCTACAGCAACCGGAACCCAAAATAAACAGGGTTCTGACTTAAAACCCGGTTTTCAGAAAGAAAACCTGGTTTCTGGCTTCTGGGCGTTTATGATGAGAGTGAAGCGTGAATGATGTTGCTGGAAAATTTCTCTGGGTGCGGCCTTTTTGCTGCTCGACCTTGGAGACCCCCAGATTCGCCGGCCAGGGCTTAGTTTTGCAGGTGTAGGAGAATCTCGTGAGAACCTCGTTCAGAGAACACGATCTGTTGAGAGACTGGTAGAGAGTCGCACGGACCACAGAGGTTCATATTCGGAACAATCTAGCCACAGTCAACGTAATGGCCACGCGCAGCAAGCAGAGCCCTTTGCATAGTTCTAATTCTTGTAAGTTTAACAAAAACTCTCCTGCTGACGGCTCGGCAGTCCTATAAACTCCTCTTCGATTTGGCACGCGTGCACGCGGGGACAGCACAAAAGGCGCACGCTCGCTCTCATCATTGAGGTCAAAAGAATATCATGCAATCGGCGCAAGTCCTGCATGCAGAGAAGCCCGCTGGCCCACTATTTTTGCCAAAGCAGAGAGCAACCTTTGCTTGGTTCCGGCGTCGTTTGTGCAACCGCATTTAACACAAGTTCGAGCTTTTTTAACAGCCGCGAACGCTGTCCAAAACACGTCTGGAGCCAGACCCCCCAAAACCCGCTTTTGTCCTACGGGTAAATACGGGTTCCCTACGGGTAAATACGGGTTCCCCTACGGGTAAATACGGGTTTTCCAAAAGTGGGTTTTAGCCAGATTATGGGTTCAGATGGGTTTTTTATGGGTTTCCGATGGGTAAAACCGGGTTTTCAGCCCGCAACCCACTTTTTTTTGCTTCGGGGCGAACAAAACTGCGCTAATCACTTTGCGGGCGTTTTGGGGGCCTTAAGACGAGCCCGCGGGAAGTGCACCCTCCTTTCGGGCGAGAATGCGGAGATGCTTCCCGCTCTGAGGTCATATATATATATATATATACATGGCCAAATCCGCCCACTCAAAAATCTCAGCCATCTCCGCGGTTGAAGGCCTCGCTTGAAACAGCTGAAGTGCGGAAGGTAGCGTGGGTGGCCGGAAGGCCGGGCAGCCGCATAAGCCGTGGCTTTCAAAACATCATAGATTTATTGGCTATAGCAGCGGCGAACTCAGCAGGGTAAGTCCTGGGCTGGCCATCATATCTAAATAAGCAAATCCGACCCGCTCCACACAATCGAACGAATTGTGCCATATTTCGCAGGTGACATGCGCTCGTCCTATAAGCTCAAGTGTCTCTGTCGACTTGAGACTTGCTGTACCACGGTATCTCCACGACAATCGATGTACTGAACCGAGGTAGCCGAAACGGGCGCCCTTCTGCCTGACCCTTTGAATCCGGATAACGGGAGCGTACGGCCCCGCACATGCCTGCTCAATCCCCAACCTGATCCCGAAAAAGTGGGTTTTTCTGAAAAACCCGGTTTTTCCAACAAAAACCCGGTTTTTTGGCCTATTCGCTTAAAAACCCGGTTCTGACCCCCGAACCCAGTTTTTTTCGGGTTTCAGGCGCCCAAGGTAAACCTACAGCCTCCCCACTCTTACGAAGAAGATGGACGCAAAGATGCTCGCGCACGGCCTGCGGCGCCTGCGACATGCGTCGATCCCCAGGCTGAGCCTGGCTCAGCATGTTGGGCCGTATATGGCTCATATGAAACAGGGTATATATTACTGTTTTTGGTAAGTGTATATAAGGTTCCTTTTTAACATTGGTGATTTCATATACCTGGTGTCCTTTTGGGGGGTACAAGAAATATATACACTGCTTCATATGAGAAGGAATCGTGTCCTCGTGGAAGTTTGGATGCTCCAGTGCTTTCGGTGGTCCAGGGCAGAGGGACCGTATTCAGGGAATTTCAGGGATATCGTTCGTATTGATCAGGCGGAAGATCCTGCATGCAGCCGTGTACTAAGAATGCAGATGCCCTGACCGTAGGCCGTACGGTATATGCGCCCTAAACTGGTACCCCTTACAAGCGGCACTTAACGCACGAATGCGAGTGCACAGGCCAGGCCTGAGCAGACGCTGATCTCTGTTGGGTCTCGGCAAGCCTTGCATGAGTACGATGCTATATAGACTCAGATAAAACATTCAAGCAGCTTTACATACAAACACCAGGCTGGCGAACAAAAAGTCTCTTCCCGGGCTGGCGGGAATGTCGTCTTCCAACTTGTAAGTTCTACCGAGCAAAAATCACGTGCGGACTGCCATGGGCCATGGAACCCGAAACCCTAAAATAAACCCTAAACCCTAAACCCTAAACTGGCCCTAAACCCTAAACCCTAAACCCTAAACCCTAAACCCTAAACCCTAAACCCTAAACCCTAAACCCTAAACCCTAAACCCTAAACCCTAAACCCTAAACCCTAAACCCTAAACCTCTGATCCTACAAGGCTTCAAGATGCTTCAAGGACCCTGTGATCCTGCAGCTTGGGAGCAGATTTTCGACATCCTCGGTTGAGTACCTCGAGCCACACAGTTACGTTTGCACGGAGATGTACCGCCGACTCGAGCGCAGGGTTGAAGGGTCTTGCTGAGGTCCTTCCCAGTTTTGCAATTAAGGCTTGGAGCGGGGTTGGGGGTTTGCTGCCCTAAGCCCTAAACCCTACACCCTAAACCCGAAACCCGAAACCCTAAACCCTAAACCCTAAACCCTAAAGGAAAGCCAGCACCACTCTGATGCCACTGCGTGGCGGGTAGGGCAGCTCTGGCGACCCTGGGCGCAGTTGCTGCTGGTACTGCCGCCACTCCTGCCGGAGCTCCTGGCATTTGGAGGCATTTGTCGGTCTTGCGGTTGAGGAGAAGAGGGCTGAAAATCCAGCGTGCTTCGGTCTGTGCAGGTGATTTCGGGGTGCGAGCAACGTTCTGCCTCACTTCTGTTGGTCTGCGTGTGCTTGTTCTCTTACTCTTGCACTAGCCGGAGAATCTGTGTGCAAACAATCAACCAGGGAGTAGACAACATCTGCAAATCACCGAGGGTACTTGCAGCTTAATGTACCGGAAGTCACGGTGCCTAGCCGCAGCTTCTTCATCAAGCTATGCGAAACACGCAAGGATGCAGAAAAACAGTATGGACGGCGGCTGCTTTGTGTACCGGGTTGTATGGAGCCCAGGGTCAGTTGTAACATTGGGTGCACTCGTCTTGCCGTCAATTCTCAGAACTCTTGCCGTTCTGCCTCTTCTCCCTCCCACCCCTCCCTCCCGCTCTCGCTAGCCAGGTGCTCATTGCTTTGCATCACACCATCTCCCTCTTTCTCTCTCCCATGAATCGTGGTCTCTCGGATTCTCTCGAGCTCTATCTCAGCCGCTCTATGTCTATCCATCCATGTCGCACTGAATCTCTCGGCCTCTTGCCAGCTGTCCATCATTTGTCTCGTCTTCTTCTTCTTCCTCTTCTTCTTCTTCTTCTTCTTCTTCAACTCGCTGGCTGCATTGTAGCCGCATGTCTGTTCTTACTTCTTTCCTTCTCTCGCGTTGTTGACTTTCACACTCACATGAGTACACCGACCGATGATTGACATGGCCAAGGATTGCGGAGCTGGGAATCCGGAAGTATGCCGGATAGTAGGAGAGAGGTCATGGATGGGTACTGGGCCAACCCCGACGACCGACAGGCCGCGGAACTCACTGCATAGATCTGAAGAATGTGAAGAAGCCTTGCCTACAAGGTAGCCGAGAGAACCATGACAAAACAAGTACTTGGGTAGCTGCTTCCTTGCCACTTTTGCACAACCCCCATCAGCCTCGTGGAACTGCTTCGGCGGATGTACTTCCAGAATGCGGGCAGCCTTCCTGGGTGCAGACTACCAAGCAATCAGTATGCGGCCTGACATTGAAGCAGATCCTGGATACAAGATGCCCCCTATCTCGTAGGCACGAAACGCTTGCAAGGACACAGCTTTCAACCCCAAGTGCAACTCAGCGGCGTCTCACCCACATGTCGCTGAGATGCGGCCAGCTCTGGGACACCTGCATACTAGGGGTTTCTGAAAATGGGGGACCCTTTTTTGGGGGGGGTCCGTTGAAGGGGATTCTATTCTGTTTAGGGTATACACCGGGGTACCCCTATTTTGGGAAATACCCATACTGGGAGTTCAGGAGGTGAAGCTGTAAACCCCAATCCCTAAAACCGTGGGTCATGGGCTGATGAGACTTTCTCCTTGCAATCCGGGCTGTACATGAAGCTTGTGATTTGAGGTCTTCAATTCTGCATGTATGGGTAGTTCCCCAAAGAGGGGTACCCCTTAAATAGTAGATAATCCTTGTTCTAAGAACCCTCCCTATTTTCGGATATTCCAACATATCCTTTCGACACACAGCTCCTTACCCACATTTGATCAAACTCACAGCATACTACACCCTAAACCCTAAACCCTAAACCCTAAACCCTAAACCCTAAACCCTAAACCCTAAACCCTAAGCCCTAAGCCCTAAGCCCTAAACCCTAAACCCTACCCTGAATGCCAAATCCGAAGGAGCCGAGGCCTCGCCCCAATGCCAGCAGCGCTTGACCAACGAACGTTGAACCCAGGTCCTAGGGGTCTTAGGGTCTTCGGGGTCCTAGGGGTCCTAGGGGTCCTAGGGTCTTAGTTAGGGGTCTTAGGGGTCTTAGGGGTCTTAGGGGTCTTAGGGTCTTAGGGTCTTAGGGTCTTAGGGTCTTAGGGTCTCAGGGTCTCAGGCTCTTAGGGTCTTAGGGACTTCGGGTCTTAGGGTCCTAGGGTTCAGGTTCTTAGGGTCTTAGGAGTCTAGGGCTTAGGGTTTGGAGTCTTCGCACACTCGCCTCCATCTCCTGCATCCTGCGTCCCAAACTCGGAAATCCCAAAGCCGAAGCCCGAATGAATCATGGGTAGAGCCGAAGGAAGAGATGGGACTCCGCTTATAACCCCAGTATGCAACATTTGAGAAAGCTATACAAAAAAAACGATAGCATAATGGGGGGGGGTAGGGTTAACATCGCAAGCAAGATATGGCGTAGGATATATATATATATATATATATATATTTCTTGTACCCCTAAATGGACACCAAATATATACACTCACCAATATTAAACGGGAACCTTATATACACTCACCAAAAACAGTAATGTACGCCCTACTTCATCTGCTCCAAGGAACCTCGGCCAGACTCGGCGACGTCGGCAGTCCGCTGATCACGTCTTCCAGGTCTTCGGGCCTCTCGAACTGGACTTGGCCATCTGCACTGGGCTTCAAAGAGGGCTGGGAGGGAGGTTCATAAAGTTTCCGAAACCCTAAACCCTAAACCCTAAACCCGAAACCCTAAACCCTAAACCCTAAACCCATTCGGTTTGTGGGGTTCATCGTGTTTTTTGGGTTTTTGGACGTTTCTTGGGGGCTGAGGTTTGGATCGATTGCAGTCCAGGCTCTTGGGTGAACGTGTTCATTCAGCTGGGCTGAATCTACCGTTTGGGGCAGAGGGCGTCTAGGTTTCCCAAAATAGACATAGCCTACCTCACATCTAACAGAAGCGCCTTCAAGGGACCTGCAACCCCCCCTTCTAAGCCAGAAGGCCACGAAGCCTCAAAGCCTCCCCGGCCTTTGCAGAAAGTGGAAGAAAGCCTCGTGGGCGTTCTGCAGTTGGATGAAGAAGGAAAGGGTGGCGAGACTCCTAAGGGCTTCGGGTTTCGGGCTGCGGGCTCATGTCGACGCACAGGATCTGGCATGCCGATCCATCATCGAACATTGCTTGGAAGACTTTGAGTATGGCTTGGGTGGTTCTGGGGTCCTCCCACGCCCACGCGCACCGTGTGGAGACACTAGTGGGAGGTACGTGATGAGCTTCACACAACCTCCCTCTCCTTCTGCCAACAAATCTAGAAACTCTAAACCATCCTAACAAAAGTGAAACTAATCCCGTCATGCTCCTGGCGCCATCAGTCCGGGAGGAGAACTTGAAGACGAAGCGCCGTGCATCGCCGTTGATCCAGAAACCTGGTGCGGGGCGCTTTGGGCTGAGACTCTCTCTGCGTATCTCGAAGTATGCCCGGCATTCATCTTGAACGGTGAGTATCCGGCAGAAAGCAACGGCTGAACGACAGCGTGTTCCACCGTGTATTTTGGAGCCCTTCTTTCCGAACCAAGTCCGTCCAAGACCATCTAAGCCCATTCTAAGCCCTATCGGCCCCATAAAGCATAAGGCATATATGCGTACACACACACACACACACACGTATACACATTAAAACAAATATGTGTCTACGCATCGATATACACCGAAGCTCTTCCCAAGCACAAAAAGAACCGACAGCTCACACGCAAGCCTCGGAGGCTCTGCACCTTCGAGGGGGGCTTCGAAGTTGGGTAGCATGGTGGGTTTAGGGTTTAGGGTTCGGGTTTCGGGTATACAGGGTTTAGGCTTCTTTTGCGGAGGCCTTATCAGGCCTCAAGAACCGCCAGCACAATCACATCTCATTGGAGCTGGAATTATCAAGATTCGATGCTGGTGTCCAGGGTCAGGGTTGAATTCATGCCTGAGCTGGGCTACTCCTCAAAGGTCCTGGGCCCTCCCCTCAATAGCTGCGTGCTCTGGAATCCTGTGTTGACGCGCATGCTCCGATCTAGCTCTCAAAGAACTTTTGGTGCAGTCGGGTCGGGAGTGAAGGCGGGCGTGGCGGTTGCGGCGGCTCAGGATTTTCAATGGCGAATTTGTACTTGCATAACTCCACGGCATAGCAGGACTACGGCACTGAGTAGCAACAAATCCTTGGTTGCAAAAACTCCGCACAAAGTGCACCTGCAGGCCCCGATTCAACGCGCTGTGCGCGGAGTGATCCCAGCCTGGGAGCGAAGGATCCCACATACATATACCAGCCCGAAACCCCTAGCAGAAAATCACTTCTTGTGTGCTATCGGCAGCATGCAGCTTCGTGCCTGTCAGGGATGGTCTGTGCACCAAGTGCGCAAGTGCACATCCGACACATGTGATCGAAGGATGTGAACACATGTGCATCTGCAACGTGCACGACGGGGGGCAGCACACACCTCATCCCGTCAACAACCCTAAAGGATGGAAGCGACGCTCCGCGTCCATGCCATGGTGGACGGTGTCGGCTTTGTGTGCCGACATTGCCTTCTGCAGCACCTGTTACCGTGAAACTGCTTAAAGGGCCCAACTTCTTGACTCGACACCAACAGGCCACCAGCACTGGTGGCAAACCATTCTCTTTGCATCAAGTACGGACAACTGCTGAGTGCGCAGCCCAGGCATTTCACCACCACGTTGCACTCCACGGTGCGGGAAGGTCCGTCTGCCACCTTCGTTCGGCGTCTCTGGGCGACTTTTGAGCATGGGTGCATCTCTGAGCTACTTTGAGTATGAGGTTCATAGGACCAGGAGCCCAGGAGCCTCTCTGCCCTGGATTTCTCTGCTGCGCCTTCACTCCTAAAGACACACATCTTCCTAGGAAGCGCCGTGTCCCTTGGGTCAAAACGCCAGAGTGCATCTCTGAACTTCTCCGAGTATGGCGTTCATGAGTCTCTGACTACTTCGGAATGGAGGATTCTCGGACGGGATTTGCTTGCTAAGCAGGATTGTTTCAAAATATTGCTCGAGGTGACGCAAGGGCAGTGCTATCATTGCAAGAGGGGGGCTGCTAACCCTCGATGCTCACCGGCCCTTCCTTGTCACTTCCTTGCTCCAAGCCGGAACCGGGGTAGTCCAGTACCCGGCTTTCAGGAGAGCCAAATAGTTGCAGAGGAATCGCCGATTCGTGTAGCGTGGTGGCTGATATTCGAGGCTGCTAGGACGGCAATACCCCACAATTACCGTGTACTGTGCCATATCGTTTACTGTAATGGTATTACGATCCTGCGACAAATGACCCTACAATACTAATCATACTATGCATTTACAAATGCGATTCTCATACTGCCCTAAACCCTAAGCCTTATATGCACCAGCAGTATAACCCCCCCGTTGTTCTTCTCATTCCGGTTCCGTGAACCCCCTTCCCCCGATGTCCTGCCCTAAATTCCAGAATGCCCGCTTACAAGCTCGAAACCCTAAACCCTACACCCTAAACCCTAAACCCTACACCCTAAACCCTAAATCCTAAACCCCAACCCTGTGTGGCCTGGAGCCTCGCACCGCAGGGCAGCATCTCAGTGAGGCGGCCCACGACCACCTGCGCTTCAGGATTCGGGCCGCAGACCAGCATCTGGTTTCGACAAAGTGGGAAGCTATACATCAGGTTGGAGGTCCCCCAAATAGACTTAGAAGTATAGTCGCCATGCTTATATACCCTACTTATACCTAGCCATGAACCTCCAAGTAACTCTGGCGTTTGGTGGTCTGGGGATTGGCTTCGTGGCTTGAGTCTTGAATCGGAAGGTCTGACTTCAGGACTTGTCGCGGATATTTCTTCTCTTTGTTTCTGGGCGGGGAAAAGGTTCCGCTTTCGGCACTTGTGTTGGCCGTGGATGGGCTCCGATCTCCCAAGCAAACAGATCGATGAGACCGATTAAAAGAATCGGCTGAGGGCAGCTCTCACGGTTTCTCAGCTCTTGAATCGAACCATATTCCTCCTCCACTGTAGGTTCTCAAATTGTCAAGGGACACAAACAAACTGCTGTCCTATCCAGTTTGTGGACCAAACACTTATTATACAGCCTACCCTACGGCCCTACGACGCCTCGCCTTGTCTTCGTCCCTCCATCTATCAATCCCCCTTCCGCGAGTCCCATCTCGACCGGGACATGAAACGAACTTCCCCAAAGCTTTCCATTGAACCCCGGATTTCTACATCCCTCGACATCTTCCAGCATCTGCCTTTATATCCTTACAGGGCTTCTGGAGTTTAGGGGACCTATTGCCCATGCACTGGCCTCCAACACTCCAAGCGCCTGCGACAGTTGGCAATTGGCAATCAAGAGATGTGCGCAGAACCCCGACACCGTGAACTTTAGAGTTGTCTGGGTGCGCCGCTCTGTTCCTCGATGTCTCTTGGCAGAACTCTTGCAATCAACCAACATGGCCTGCAAGAGAAAGTAGACGTCTGAGATGGCTGGATTGGATTGCCTCGGTGCAGACTACGTAGTACGTTCAACCTGTGGTGTATGGCTCCTAACCGTGACCGCGAATTCATTGCGAGTGAGGGCTTAGGCCTTAGGCTTCCTGGCACTTGGAGCCTCAAAGGTGGCTTCGTCGGAAGCGATTGCATGGAAGACGATTTATCCGACGAAGATATAAAGGCGACAAGCTGCGCAAATAGGCGGACCTGGTACCCCAGCATCTTCACGAAACACGAGTCCAACCTGACATCCTCAACCCTTACACCTGCCCCACGCCCATACGCCACCCTCTGGCCCTTCCTTCCCAAACCCAAAACATCCGCAAAGGTCTCTGAAAGGACCGAGAGGCGACATGATGCGCCCTCTTGCATCTGGAAGCATGCTCCTGGCTGCGTTTAACCCTTGGCCCCGGATTCAACGCGCTACGGCCTACACATGTACACGTGCTCGCATCAGCATACATACATGTTTTGCTAATGCACCATATGCATGTGCACATGCATATGTGTATGCAAATATGAATGTATGCATGTATGCATATCTACATCTTATATAGGTGTATGTATATATCTAAGCACATAAAATATATACATGCATTACCATACGCACGTGTGCGCACAGACATGTACACATATGTGTATGTATATACAGATACGCATATACATGCATCAAACGTAAATAAAAAAAGCATATATCCGAATACGTAGATGTGAAATACAGATGCAGGACACGGATGCACATACATACTGCAGACTAAGATGTATGCATCGACGTACTATGTGTATGTATATCACAATACATACACAACCAGGTAACCAGATACAAACAAAATACAGAAAATACATATTGTAATACATATAATACATATAATACACATGATACATATAACACATATAACACGTATAGTACATATAATACATATAGTACATATAATACATTTACTACCTATAATACATATAAAATATAAAAAAAAAAACATATAAAAACATATCATACATATAATACATATGATACCTATAATACATATAATACATCTAATGCATATGATGCATCTAGTACACATAATACACATGAGACGTATAATGTGTATAGTATAATAGAACTAAAACAAGGAACTACATGTACTACATATAATACATGTAACACATATAATACATAAAATACATATAATGCATACAATACATATAATACATGTAATACATATAATACAAATAATGCATATAAGACATATAATGCATATTATATAACACCTATTCGACATTTAATACATACAAACAATTGATTCATGCTTTTGGAAAAAGTTGAAGATCTACGTAGGAAGCTTCGATCTAAGTAGGAAGCTTCGATATCTGCGAGGATGCCACCGTCCACAGGCTGGCCTGCTCAGTGCTTCCTCCTTGCGCTCAGCAGACCAGCCAAGGAGGTCATACATGGGCTGTGCGAGGCGCAGCACAGCATCCATGTCCAACTCCTGCCATGGGACAGGCTTTTTGAGCTCTAGAGATCGCGCATGTGGCATGTGCGGCGATAAAGACTACTGCCGCAGGGGAGTGCTGCTGAGCCCATGGCTCCACCGGGTCGGCTGCCATCCACCAACCAAGAGACGACCTCATGGAAAAGGACAGCTACAGGTAGCAGCACAACAAAAGAAATGAACAATAATTTTAATCATTTTACACAATACAATATAAGGTCGCATCAATTTTCCATATAGTACAATCTGTGCATATATATATATATATATTCATTCATATTCATTTATTTATTTATGTATGCTCTGTACTACATACATATGTATACTCATATTACCGGCTTTGTTTTTCAACAATCATCATATACCTCTACATAGTATTAAACAAAATCGACTCTCTACATGTATTTATATGTATATATCTATATGGTACGTCAAACAGAATGTAAAATATACAGTAGGATAGTAGGAAAAGCATGTTGGTCGTCAGTTCAGAGCGAAGCAAGGGTGAGGCGGGTGAGAGTCAAAGCCTTCGCGAGCCAGCTAATGGAGGACTTCTTCATTCTGCTGGTTCTACACTTCACTCTACTTATGCGCACCACTTTTTCCGGTCAACTTGCAAGAGCACTTGGCAGTGGATGCAGCAAAAACCCTAAAGCCTAAACCCTAAACCCTAAAAGGTACTCTTGATCGCAGCCATGGTCATTTGGACGCGTTGTTTGGAAAGCTGAATGTCTGGGAGCGCTGGTTTGATGGGCTTGGCATGGACGGGATTGCACCCATCACGTCTAAGGCCGGAGCACGTGGCAGGACCAAATTGCGCCTGAGATTCATGCTGAGGTTTTTTGTTGTGCCTGTTGCAGGGGTTGAGCTCTCCTTCAAACCCAGATGCCCATCAGGTTTCAGTCATGACGTCCGTGCATCGCGGGCACAGAGACTCCCCCAACTTCGATGTCCGGATCCTAAAGCAAGTCAACCCCCTAGGAACCCCTTGAACGTCCACGGTTCTGCAACATCATCACCTACAAGTACCAATATCGAGGATACAAACTTCGAATTCCCGCGAATTTTAGCACACAAAACCCATGACAAGTGGCCTTCGGCAAACGATAGTCACGTAAGCTGCTCCCGCCTACGCCGTGGTCGCGAGCACTCATTCACGGTCAGAAGGTGATTTAAGGAGCTCGTGAAGGTCACCATTTGGGCGCTTAATCTTCGCCCCTACCAAGCGGCAAGCTCAGGAAGCAACTGTGGCTGTTCACGGCTGGCGTGAGATCGTTTTGGGCACGTTTAGGGACTGGGAGCATGGGCTATGCTCCCTATAATCCCTTCAAAGGCCCTTTTTGGGGTTCATTGCGGAGATGACAAGGCTTAATTAACAATAGCCCACCCTGGTTCAAAAACTGGATCAGGGATTCGGAGCATTGGGGACACTCAGATCGCCTCTGCCGCAGTTCGTGCAGTCTCCACGGCGAAGGCTCCGTGGCCAAGGACGAGCGCACGCCTGAAAACCATAATTCGAATAGGGTTTTGGGGGTTGTTAAATGGTATATTTATTAAGGGACCCTAAGGGAATATTATTGGGAATTATTACGACCCCGATATTACTTCTGCGCAGAGGGTGAGCGTGGTTGCTGCATGAAGATAAGTTTGCCATATATGTCTCAGAGCAGATAAAGGGAAGGCATGCTCACAGAGGGCCTTTGCAGCAAGCTGGCAGCAGTTCATAAGCATTCACATATTCGCCATTTTTTCACTTCCAAGCGCGTGCAGGGTCAAACTTGTCGAAGTATCAGATATTGGCTTTGCCCTGCACACAGCTGAAGGGGAATCACGCCAAAAAAACAGCGGATCTCTGAGCTAAAGCGCCGCGCTCGGTATCCGAGAGGCCGAAATTGTTCACGATTCTACCGATAGCTGCTGTCATCGATCAAACTTCCAAAGCTCTGTACGGATGACTATTCTGAGGGGAGGTCGACCAACCCATCCGCAAGCTGCAAGAAGAATAACATAGAATAACGTTGAAGACCCTCGGGCCAGAAACCAAACCTCCCCTCACGGAACAAGCATGCTTACGCAAAAGAGTGCACTTTGCTTCCAAAGCGATCTAGGAAGCACGCATTGCGACACGTTGCGACGCTGCGTGTGCGTCCTGTTCGCAAGGGAGAATAATTCTATGCCTCAACTTCTCCCCCGACGGATCTCGGAGGAAAAGTTGCCTCAAAGAGTTGTCCTGCTCTGGCCCCCTGGGCCAGAGTCTACCAGAGTCTACCAAAGCTTCCACGGAAGGTTCCTGGACTGGTCTTGGCGCACGTGGAAGAGCGTAACGATTTTGTTGGCTTAGACTACACAGCTCTATAGTATCAAAAGCCCAAAACACTAAACCCTAAACCTTAAACCCTAAACCTTATCCCAAACAGCAACCCAGGCTCTGGGCAAGCTGTTGCAGTGACGAAATCTTTTGGTGTCGGTGGGGTTTGTCTTTGCTGACCTGGTCCCTGCGCAAAGCAACCTCCTTCGTCAGCTTCCGCCTCCCTGGACCCGTCGACATCTCCTGACAGGGGACTTGCGGGTTTAGCGCTGAGGGTTTGGGGTTTAAGGCTTATAGGGTTTAGGGGAACTTGCAGGAGCTTGCGGGAACTTGCCAAGCCGAGCGCAAGCTTAAGATGCTTGAGCCTAAGATGAACGTCAGCACTATCTCTTTGCCTTCAGGACTTTGCTAGTATGGTGCTTCCTCCGCCAACTTGTCCATGCGTGCGGTGTGATGGTTGTGCAGGATGCGGTTTGGAGGGCAGGGCATGGCTGTCGCCATGTCCGGAAAGGACTCAGAAAAGTAGGACCGCCACGACTCCATCGCCCCGACCCCAATGCCCGGGGAAACGCCCGGGGAATCTGGCAAGACACACCGAGACGCTTCCGCCGTGGCTCCATCATTCAAGAGCCGGGCGGGCCGAAGAAATTCATCTTGCGGCGGGAGAGGCGCCACTTCCAGGTCGCTCGTGACTTCATGCGGCTTCCTGGGCGGCTGAGAGCAGGGAAACCCTGCAAAGATGACAAGGCTGGAACCACCACGGCCATGGCCAACTGCGATGGCCCGTGATGCCCTGCTTTCGGGGCGCTACTAACTACAGGGCCTGTGCGACCCATTGAAGCATCGGACTCTGAGAAGCACCAGAAAGGACATGTTTAAGACATGTTGAGGCATGTTGACTCATGGGCCGTACTTGGAGTGTGCTCAGAACAAGCAGAATTATTACATTGCTTTTTGCAACATTGTTCGAAAATAAAGCTATCATGATTAATTACATTCTTATTTTACAACATTGTTCTATGTTTACACTATCATGCTTCTCTTTATCTAGATATCCTAATAAAAAAAGTACATTTTGTAGAGTGGGCAGACGACAAGGCCAAGGTGGACTCCGACTGCCGCCTTGCCTCCAGTCCACCCAGTCCAAGAGGTCGTCGGCCACACCGAAGCCAATACGACCCTGGAAGCACTCTTCCTGTCATCATGGACTTTGGAACTGAACATGAATTGTTTGTATAAGACCATCTAGAATATTCTAGTGTTTTCGTACTAACATTTTCGAATGCTAAGACATTATAACGAAAAACATAATGCTGAAACACGATAAGATTACATTGCGCCATCGACAAATTTATTGTTTTATGATGAAAGTATATTGCTATAGTACTAGTTTACGATACTGTATTCTATTTCTTGCATTATCATAGGCTTGTTGTCGTGTTATTCTACTATTCTATGATATGCTGCCACTACATTGTGCTGTTCTTGTCTTACTAATTTAGTCAAGTATATGAATAATCTGCAAATATACGTTTCGAATACTATGTTGTGAAAAATGGATTAAACTGCAATAGTCTATTGCTGAAGTATTTACGACTATATGTTTGTATTGCTATACTAGTATTCATGTATATATATACACATATAATATTGTTGCATTGTGATATTAGCATTCTTAGTATTGCATTATTATAGTATTACATGATTACATTTATTACAAGATGAATATTTTTGCATTGTTGAATTATGTATATATATATATATGTTATACCATTCTGCTCTGATATTGAAATGTAAACATATTCTCATATGACTATATTGGTGTGTCAATCATTACAATATTATACTAGTATATTACTACACTATTCTGTTGTTATATGATTATATGATTATGTGAATATATTCATTATACTACTATATGAATATGTGGGTTGATATACATTCATATATGATTTCATAAATAGATGAGTCTTTTTTCACCATGTCATATGAATGTTTTTGGATGATAATGTGACTCTTTTGTTATACTCCAGTCTTAGTATACTATGACTTATCATATTATTATGGTTATCTATTACTGTTTGCTCTATTGCAATTTCATGATCCTCTTCTATTGTCATCTTGTTCTTCAACAGTGTGCTAGCTTCTAGCCATGGTAATCCGACAACGGCAGCTGTAGACTCATAGGCGAGGCCTCAGGGAGAGGCTCGTCACGCGGTTTCGGCAGAAAGCCTGGATAGACCATGACCTGAAAGAGTCACCCACACACCCACACACCCACACACCCACACACCCACACACCCCCACACCCACACACACACACACACACACACACACACACACACACACACACACATCCACGCACACCCACAGACACACAGACACACAGACACACAGACACACAGACACAGAGACACAGAGCACGGAGACTCAGAGATACAGAGACACAGAGACACACAGACACACGCGCGCGCACACCCCAAACGTGGGCACTGATTGCAGCCTCACAGCCCCGAATATATCAAATAAGTGCAGTGTGAGAGTGCGGTATCACTGTTGCTTTCAAGAGCATCCACAGGACTCACGACGCACACTGACCAACCTGGTGTATCCCATATTCTTAGATGATTATATTATTCCATACGTACATTTACTATGATACGGGTATGTTCGAAAAAAACACTATCATTTTTCTAGTATCACTTTCCTGCAACATGGCTCCAGTCGTCTGCGTTCCAAGCGGCTGCAGCAAAGGGGCCTGGTCAAGTGGCGGAGGAGATTTCTCATTTCATTGCCGCCAAACAGTGCCTGCTGTGGCGTTGAGAAAGAATTTGAAAGAACATCCACTGAGTCACTTCAAAGAAATTCAAAAAGCATCCAGGTGCACAGGCGGCAGGCCTTCCCCGTGCCGAAGACCATCCGGCGACCGCCAATGCAAGCCGTAGCTTCCAGCAGCCTACAAGGGGACACAGCGGGATACTACTGCACATACTGCACATACTGGAGATGAAACCACGAGGGTTAACACTCGATGTATCTTTGGTACAGCGGACTCACACAACGAAGCAGACATGAGCCCCCCCCCCTTAGTAGCAGCAGCACCGCCACAAACGAAGTAGCAATGCCACCATCGCACGCCACAGTCGTGCAATTCCACATTGTCTAAGGCCTGGGCTTCAAACACATCACTGGAGTTTGAAATTTGTCGGAGGTTCTCTGCTATCGCTCTGGGCTGGCATGACTTCATACCCAAGGCCTTTTTCCCACACTTTGGCTTCGGAAGCGATTGTATCACTTGACAACATTGCTCGGCTTCTCGATCTACGGTCAGCCCTCGAGCAGCTTTCAACCACGCCTTGAGCTGTGAAGCATTCAGAGCTATTCGGCTTCAGGGCCTCTGACGGCCGCCACATGCCTTGGAGTCTTTCTTCGCATCTGCCGATGGCTGCCGTGCTCTCGCTGATGGCACGGAAGCAACGGAAGCGTCCCAGCGCAAAGTTCACAGGGATGTCGGAGGGCTCGTAACCGGTCGTCTTCTGGATGATTCTTGCTCACGTCGTGCGCAGGCCGGTCCTTCCACGTCTTGCACATCCGACATGTCCGTATCTTAACGAACTTCAATGATTTCGATCCCGTCTCAGACCGGATCATACTCATGGAGTTGGATTGCAAGCCGCAGCGCGGCAGGGTCGACATCGTGCTTCTTACGGAACACGGCAAGATTCTCGACCATCACCTCCAGGTGTGCAAAGCGTCGAATCTCGCCATACAGATGCTGCCGTGCAGCGTAGTCATGAACCATGACCACAGACCTTTGAATCTCTGTCTGCCTGATCGCCGACAGACTTTTCAATGCGCAAGCCGTGCGGAATCTAGAGTCAACCAGAACAACATCCCAGCCACGTCGATGGCGCTGTGCAGCACTCAACACAGCTTGGCTGAAGCCAGGCCATGAGCTGCGCAGCCCAACCGACTCCATGGCTCTGCATTCCGCCACGCGGGGTTCGACAAACCGGCGGCTGCTCAGCAGTTGCGCATGCTTGCAGCGGCTCATGTTCTGAATCGGAAATCCGAATGCGGAGACTGCGGCAAGGTCCACAGTCGACAAGATGATCTTCTGGGGTAGCGTTCCATTGCGGAGCCACTCATGCCTCCGTACTCGATGGACCCAGCGCTTGTCCTTGCTCCATAGTGAACAGGGCCCAAGGGCCAAAGGGTTTGTTTAGTTTGGGGGTTAACAGGGTTTATGACAGGCACGAGGTGCATGGAAGAGCCTAAGGAAACTGTCATCGGCAAGCCTCGGGGCAACAGTGAAACAGAAGCCTGAAAACGGCCCAGGGTCAAGATCTACCGAGATCATCATGTCAAGATGCCGGCTGTTGTTGGCGATGTGCAGTGTGGATGCCCCCATGCCGAACTCAAAAAAAGTTCTTGCAGATCGCAAGTAGCGAAACAAGAGCTGCAACTCCACAGGCGTCATCATCACGTGCCCAATCCCATCAACATATGGGCCCAGTCCCGGGTTGCGACTGACACCATGAGCTGCGGGCAGCAACAGAGCCTGCCAAAGAACCACGCTTGCCATTGCTGCGTGCATCCAAGCTGTACAAGGGAGCTGCTCGGCGTAGTAACCCGGAGCTACTGGACATGCTGATCTCCTGCTATTGGCTGCAGGACACTGACCTACCACTCTTGTTCGTCGCTGGAGGTCTCGAACCCAACCAACTTCACAACCCTGAGAAGAACTTGTCATTGCGGTGAAGCGATAAGAACGTGTCAATGGACCCAGATGCTTGAAGCTTCTTGGCAGTACTCTCAGGCTTCGCAGAACAATATGTCACCTAGGACGGGGGTCCACTTTCTCGAGTTCACGTGAGATCACCAAATCATTACATTATTACATTGACCTGATTGCATTTCTCGTATAGTCTAGTGCTATATGATTGTGTTATTGTCCATATCTTCAGGTCGTGCAGCATCCTTCTGCTAGGAACGGAGCCGAACTGTCCAGCATAATTATCCCACATCCCGCCGCCGACCAGAAACAAAGATAACATGCCTTGTGGGAGCTACAAACGGAAGCTCCAGCCTTCACATCAACCTGGACCACTTCTGCGCTGAAACCTGGCAATCTCACAACCCTGAGAGCTCTTATTGGCCCAGAAAACCTCTTATATCTCTTGATTGCATCCTGCACCCAAATGCCAGGCTACAGTAGTTTAGCAATGCCTATTGGCGCCAAACTGAGGCCACGTGTAGGGTTTCTAGGGTTCAGGGCTTGGAGTCACCAGAGAATTATTGCTCAGGGTCTGAGAAGTAAATAGTCTGTCCGCGCCTTGCACCATCATCATGCGCACTCGACAAGCTATCCAGCATGTGGGGCTATGCACGAGCGGCATGCACCGAACCCTAGTCAATAGACATACGCCAACCCCAAATACAAGACGTAGCAGAGAGAAAAGCCTCATGGCTTGCGGCTCGACCTTGCCGACCACATTACTAGGATGGCCCCTGAAACCCTCTGAAACATATTCCTATACATGATTCTGCTAAACCCAATAAGGAAGCGAAATTCTGAAAATGTCCCAAGTTGCCCACCTAGAAATTCGGGCCCTCAGGAAGAATGCAGCGTTTCGGCTTGCACGGCCGAGGCGCAGCAGCGCTCGAGGATGCCGTGCCGCGACGCGAAATCCTGGCACGTGGAGGGGCTGGGGATGGTGGCGCCAGGTTTAGAAACTTTATTATGATAAAGAATGGCAACATAAGAAAAAAATGTGCTTAATGATATGTCAATATAGTAACAAGAGTATATCAATATGCCAACATATACATATGTTCATAATATAACTGTAGAAGTATTCAGAACCTACAAAAGAACCATTTACAGCTGCGATCCCGGCAGGAACTTACAGATTCTAAGCCCAGGATCCTGAAAGAACCCCGTCCTTCGCATGCTCCAGAATGGCATCTCGGGAGGAGTAGTTGGGCAGGCTGTCCTCAATTTGGGGGGGGGGGGGGGGAAGTTCTGGGTGTTCGGGTTCTTTGGGTGCGGGCCTTGGGATGGCTCAACTCGGGGCCACCCTGGTGCTTGAGCCGACGCAGGACATAATGGGGGGGCACTCAAGGCATGCCGTCCAGAGTGGGTTATTCTTGGTATCGTCACGATTGTGAACAGAAACTAGCGAAGGTGCACAACACATGTCAACGGCAATGTGGCCGGTCTAGAACTGTCATGTATTGAAAAGCCTGGTTAAACCTCCTAGTTCCTCAGCATGTGCAAGAAAGCTATCAGAGCAGCCACTGCCCAGAATCTATAATACTCACTCCAGGGCAGCGGGCGCAGAATCCTGCAGCCCAACACCTAGAACCAGACTCCACGTCTCGGAAGTTCCCGGAAACCCTATAGACCATAAACACTTCGTCCCTGCAACGCCCGCGAACAATCCCTCCCAAGCCCTGTGCTGAGAACCCACGCCGGGCACTCAGCGCCCTCTGGCATGCCCAGATAATAGCTGCCACGCTCAATCTGAGCCCGCGAGCTGCCTCGCGGTCTGCGGTTCTCGGAAGTTCCAGGTCGTAGCGAAGGCTTTCATGGTGCATTGGGTGACGCTCCATGTTCCGGCTTCTTGAAAGGGAGGCCCCAATATGGAGGCCCTGGAGATCATGAGGCTTGATACCCTAAACCCTAAACCCTAAATCCTAAACCCTAAACGACATGGCAGCGACTACTTGGGAGGGCTTGGTTGTTTTGGCTTTGGAGTCTTGGAGAGCCTGTTTTGGACATGCCACTGCGGTTCGTAACAAATTCCTCCCTCCCTCTCCTACGACCTCTTTGACTCCAGGGCTCTCAGTACGGAAATCTTCGTAGAAACTTCATGTGCGACCGCTGTGTTACAGAAATTGTGTCAAGTCAGTCACTTCAGGCCCCAGCCTACGCCGATTGACCGGCACGTTGCGTAAGGGTACTCACGGTCTGTTTCCTGGGTGTCCGAGCGGTTGGCCACGGCGCGCCACGAGCCGCCCAGTGCAGGTTGCCTAGGCTTGCGGTCGGTCTGCCAGGCAGATTTAGGCTGCATCATATGGATTTAATCAAAAGGGTTTGGGTTTAGGGTTTAGAGTTGTGATGTGGGTTTATCATCCAGGTGTATATTGGCTTGCACATGGCGTTTATTCTGGATTGATAGATGGATAAGGGCTTTGGTACCAGGGTGAGCATACGAGATGATAGTCTACATAAAAAAGTAAATTGCATATGGTGGTTTCCGAAATTAGGGGTACCTATTGGGGTCCTTATTGTAAGGGAATCCTACTATTTGGGGGTATATATTGGTGTCCCTTATTTTCGCAAACCCCCCATATAAGTTTAGAATATGGGTTTATGGGGTTTTGGGGGTGTACGGGGTTTATAGGGTTTACAGCGCACAGGGCTTCGGGTTTGGAGGGCTTAGGATTTCGAAGTAGGGGTGTCCAGTCTCAGCCTTGGAGACGTAGGGTTGAATCATCAAAGTTTGGGCTCAGGATTGCGGGCTGCAGGGTTTTGGGTGCGTGTGCCGGGTATGGCGTTGCCTCAGTTGTTCGTAAAATGGTATAGGGCACCCCGCAGACCTTCGTCAGCTCTGGGATCGCTTTTGGAAGGTCTGCTGAGACGCATTTTTAAGGGGACCCCCCCCATGGACCTATCGTTGAATCAACCCAGGCACTTCTCGAAGATGCAGAAGTCGATGCCTCGTCGCTGCAGCTCTCTGGCCTGTCTGCCGAAAGCTGAGGTTCAAACCCTCCAGGGTTTTGCCGAGCTTTCGCAGCAAGATCCGGCCGGAGAAGACCAAAAGGTCCATGTAGAAAGAGGCTCTGAGAGTCAAGCCATCACGGCTTGACCAGAAATCCTGAACCCAAACCTGAATGCCGAACTCCCAAGCTCTTCGCCCTCCACCCTCCCCCCGCCGCGGAGAGACCGCCAAAGCCGGCGCCAACTACGGCCACCGGGGCAGACAGGAACTGCAGGGCAAGCATTCTTGGGGTCTTGAATCGTTCTTGAGTGTTCTTGGGTCGGCTGCTGAATGCCCCAAGCCTTATGAATGCAAAACACAAAAAGCTAAGCCCTACCCGATCGGCGACCCTGTCGGCTAACAAGAAGAAGACCGAGCAGCACGAACAGATTCTTGTGTGAGGCAGAACAGGCCTTGCTTCTTGCGCCCGGTGCTCTGAGTGAGTTGCAGTGTTTTCGAGCATGATTTGGATGCAGTTCGTCATGTAAACCAGCACACTGGGCTAAGCCTGCCCGTTCGGGGTGAAAATTTCAATGTGCCCTTGTGGGGATCTGTCCGAACCTGCAAGGCCCTTTGCTGGTGATCAGAAGCATCCTTGCCCAAGTCGGCCCAAGATTCGCTCGTACGCAACCAACAGTACCTGAAATAAATTCAGAACACTTGTGCCCTTCAACCCTGAAGCTCGGAATGTGTAGTTGAGGGCCTCCAAGCCTTGAAACATCTTGAAGCCCTAAATGCAACACCGCGCACCTCCCAGTCCTCGTTGGCTGGTGCATCCTGCTTACGGCATGTGTTCTGCTTGGTGTCACGGCCTGTCAGCGAGCTATGAAAGATCCTTTGTAGAATTCGCACTGGAGCGTCTAGGAAATCCTGCGTGCGGGAGCTCTAAGGCATGGGGGAGAGCTTACGATACGATGCAGCTCGCGACAAAAAGTGAAGGCCAAGGTCACCTGCCAGAAAGCATCAACCCAGCGAGCGCACGATGTCACTCGCTGCTACAATCCAGCATGCAAACCGTGAATGGGGCTCGAATCTCACGAGCAGCTCTCGAAAGCCTATGTACTTTCCAGTGAGTCGACGCAGAGCCGGACTTCGACTGTGACACGTTGCATGTTAAGTTTTGAGATGGTGACCTTGGGGTGTAAGATGAAGACCCTACAGCGCATGGTGGAGTACATCAAGAGGGCTGAAATGCGGGTGGTGCGGGTGGTGCGGGTACGGTGGGGGTACGGTACGGGTACGGTGCGGGCACGGTACGGGTACGGTACGGGGTACGGTACGGGGTACGGTACGGGGTACGGTACGGGGTACGGTATGGGGTACGGTACCCGTACCTACGTACCCGTACCTACGTACCCGTACCTACGTACCGGCTCATGGGCCGCTATTAGCGGCACAGGTACGGGGTGTGCGGTGTGCGGGGTGCGGGGTGCGGGGTGCGGGGTGCGGGGTGCGGGGTGCGGGGTGCGGGGTGCGGGGTGCGGGGTACGGCTACCCGTACCTTGTACATGTACCTGCCCCCTGTCCCTTGTACCTACCATCCGCCCCCTGTAATGTGGTATCCTGATTAGTGTGGGGGCCCCCCCCCCCCAACTAAATCCACCCCCGCAATAGTGTCACCAAAAAAAGGGACCCCCCCAAACTAATTTTCGGCCCCGGGCCCCCCCCACCGGCTCCTCTTCATTTCCTCTTCGCTCCTCTTCCCTCTCCTCTTCCTCTCCCTCTCCTCTTAGGTAATTAAGCTCAGGTAAGCTCAGATGAGCTCAGCTCAGGTAAGCTCAGGTAAGCTCAGTAATTAAAGCTAAAGGTAAGAGCTCAGGTAAACTTAGGTTGCTCTTCTTTTGCTCTTGTCTTTCATCATCTTGTTCTCAGATTTTTCTCTCTTCCGAAACCCATGCCCGAAAAACTTTACTTTATTGTGGGGGGCAATCGAGTTTTTGTCTCCTGAATAATTTTTGGAAAACTTTTCATTATTGGAGGGGTCCAGACTAATCAGGATACGACATTACTCCGTACCCTCATCCTGGCCCAAAACGTCTGCGACAGAAGTCTTAAAGTTAGATAACATTTGTGCGCACAGCACACACCTCAGCTTCGGCAAAGAACAATGACTCCATTTTTCGGCAGGGTTTCGCATTGTGTGCTTCAACAGTTCGTCATCTCCAAAGTACGAAGACGCAAATATGCAAACAAGATTCCCTCGTGTCCAGCAGCTTCAACCGCTTTGCAATTCAGATTGATCGGTAGCAGCAAAACACTGTACATGGCTTGACTTTATGACAGCCGGGGGTCGGGGTGAAATCGAGCCTTGGAAAAAAGAACAAAAATCAAAGTGCAAACCCTAAACCCTAAACCCTAAACCCAGGAGATCCAGGGAAATAGACCCCCTCTATCCAAGCCGCATCCTCCCGCCTAGATCTCCGAGGATCGGTAGGCGAAGTCCAATCTGGTCCTGCTAAGCTGGAGGATGCCGGGCATTGAAGCGATCTTAAAGCGCTATATACAGTCTCTAGGGTTTAGGAGTTTAGGAGTTTAGGAGTTTAGGGTTTAGGGTTTAGGGTTTAGGGTTTAGCGTTTAGGGTTTAGGGATCTTGCAGGGTTGCTTATGTAACTTATGTAGATCGGGGAGTCGATGGCACCGAATTTGTGCCCTTGTTACCGGTCGAGTTGCTCAAGCTAGCCGCAATTTGGATGAGAGAAGAGCGTCGTGGGGCTCCTCTATTTCTTTACCAAGCCAATGATTCATCCATCCCAAATCACGGAGGTGCTGCAGCTAGATGACAGGATGATCACCGGCGTCGGAGAATGATTGATGTGGTCTGGGGCTGGTTCGGCAGGCACGGGGGAAACATTTTTCAGAAGCATGTTATGCTCCTTTGAGCGAACTTGTCGTCACAAGCACTTAAAATTCCGCAGAGCTCAGGGAACTCTGCCATGCTTACGCAGTGGCAAGGCGAACAGCTGAGGCTGAAGACCTGAAACATTCCGAAATGTCTGGGGTTGTTCTGGCCCTTCTCAACGGCACGTAACCATTTCAGGTAGCAGTTCGTAAGGCCGTGTCCTAGAGCAACCCCTGTCTGGCTCTCGCAGCTCTCACACAAACGCCGGAGCCGCCGGACCTGAGCTCAAAACGCCAATCACGGCGTCGCAAGGCATCGCATGAAGATGTCATGGGCGGTCGAAAGATACGACCTACGATGTGCAGATCTTCCCCAACAGGCCTAGCCAAAATCGACCAGTTAGGTGAAAACAACAGCCTCCAAGGTCTTTAGCTGTCTAGCTTCCACAGGGCAACCCTAAAAGGGGGCGGGGGGCGGCAGGGAGTCAGGGGAGGCAGAGGAGGGAGCCAGAGGAGGGGGAGAGTTCAGGGAGTTGAGGGGTTGCAGAATTTTGTTGGCAGACGGCGGCAGCATGATGCAACCGAGACTCTTCCAGGAGGCAGTCTATCGCTGGGCTCCCAAATTTGAAAGCTGGGCAGCTTTCCGAGGCCTCAGAAGGTGTGGAGTTTGCCAAAGTCTTCTGTTCTACAAGTCGCAAGGCATGCATCAGAAGTGAAGGCTTTGCGTTTGAGATTTGAGAGTTGTGCAAGTTGCTACAATGCTTGCGAGACAATGACCACCTAGTTACGGCAGGCTTGATTCAGGGCGACTGCGGGGCTGCAGCGTGGATCTGAGCACGCGCGCTTGCGAGAATCCTTCGCTGTAGCCTATGACCTATGACTACAGCTCCTAGGCCGCTTCAGTAACGGAGGGCAAGAGTCTTAGGGACTGAGTGGTGAAGTGGTACTAGACTGGGGAACGAGAAACCTACCCGAAGTTTCTCATTCTGTTGACTTGGAATGCACTGCAAGCGGTCCTTCTGAAGCTTTCCGGGGTCACCATCCCTGAGTCCTACAACAACTTGACAAGTATCGTCCACTCTAACTCTCGAAGACCAGACATCACAATTTCGAAGATCTAGATACCCCAAGCCCCAAGCCGCAATGGGCGGGATCTTGCTCGAAGGTGCGGCCTTGTTTCGTGTAGAACAGGTCAGAACAGGCGCAGGCTGCATGGCACATCTCAAAAACCGGCGCGCTTCCCAGGAGATGGAGAGCTGTGCGCCCGGGCTCCAGAAGGAGCAAAGCTTCTGCCGCGTGTCGTCGGGGAACTCCCACATCTCCTGGCTGCGGCTTCTGGTTGTATGGATGGCTGGCAATGCTCAGAGCCCGGGGACGTTCGGGGCGGCGGTCTTGGCCTGCGGGCTTCGTCTCAAGGAATGACGACAAGGTCGAAATCCAAATCTTCTCTGCCCTGTATTCGATCGGTCATGGAACCACGCGAGTGCATCGTCCTTGTACAACCATCCGAACCAAACGCAGATCCTATGATATCACATGACCATCGCCATCCATTCTTAGCCCGAAGCCTTCGAAAGGCCAATGCAGGCTCCTGATGATGGGTCGCCCCATTGCAGTATGCCGGTGGTGTGTAGGTGCGCACCTCTGCGGCTGCAACGGCAGTTGTACCCTTGAGTCTCAGCATAGTCCTGGATCGCCCAACTACATATAGTTTGGCGGTACGCCCCAGCTCTCCGCCTCGTAGCAGTGTGGTGCCCCGGACAGCACCTCAATAGCCTTGGTATCAGTACATTCTCGAGTGGGCCATCGCGGTTTGAAGCTTGCTCAGCCCGCAGCCATCGCTGAATACTCCACAGGAACCTCAGTAGCGACCGAGATGATTCTCCCACTACAAGGAGGAGCTGGCTATTGAGAGCAAATCCTCCGACTTGCACCGCCTCTTTTTGCTTTTTCATGCCACAAGCGCCCTGAGAGCGTGGCAGTGTCGTCCAAGGTGCCATGGGCGATCAGCACCTGCCTCTTTTTGTCTCCTGTGGCAAAGACGTCCATGGCAAGGGGGAAGCCATGGGAAGCCTATTGTAGCAGACATGTGCCGTGACACTGCCGCTCAGGTCTGGGGGGCAACCATGCAACCGAGATGGGAGTTGAGGAGCGGGGTCTCATGAAGGGTCCGGCCACCCAGTTTCTCCTGCAGTGCAGTTGGCAAGCAGCTTCATCGGATCGTAGACATCCTGTGAGTTTTTGTCATTGCTCCAAATTAGACTTTGAGCAGGCCCGCCACATACCCGCCCATCCGCGCAAAGACTTCCGACCTAGACTATGAGAGCTCCCAGCAATCCGCAGTGGTCTCTTGCATGCGTTGTAGGGGGGAAGCTGCGCCACCCAAACCCCTAAACATTGGAGATCCCCTAAGCCCCCGAAATCTAAGGCCTGAACAGCTAGGAATCTGAGGCTTGGCACCACCCGGTGGCCCGAGAAGAAAGTTGCGAAGGCGAAGACCTCCAGGAGTCAGCTCCGCAAAAAACACTCCCATCTCTCTAGAAGCACTCGATAAAGTACCTGGGATGTCTGCATTATCTTCAGTTGTGGCTACTTGGCACTAAGATATGATGGCATTCAGGAAAGAAAACAGGATAAGAGCAATTTCTACCAGCAACATCAGGACCAAGACTCCCCAATTGGGGGGCCCCTGCATCCAAGTTGCCCCTCTTGCCAGGATGTCGCCGAAAAAGTTGCCAACGATAGGCGCCACCTCAGAAGGCAGGGCAACTCGATCGTTCAAGCGAAGGCCTTTGGAGTTCCAAGGCTCCTGCAGCAAAGCTGCCAACTTTCAGAGCGAGATTTCTGGATGCACGGTGTAGGTAAGAAAAGGTGAGGCCGAGCAGCATGCACATACGCGGTCCGGTCCAGCAAGCCCAGCACTTACGGCTGCCAGAATCCCAAACAGGCTTGGGCCCCGACCGTGGCGACAATCATTCCAAACAGGCCAGCGTAGGGGCCCTCGGAGCTACTAGGGGCTCAGGGTGTGCGGCTTTGGAGAATTTCCAATTGCGGGGATCCCTGCGTTTTGATTGTGCTATGCTTCTGTATTTCTACTTCGGCCGACTTTTTGGGGTTCTGGGTTCTCCAGTTGCTCGACTTCAGGGCTCAGAGCCCCCTTCAAGACACCAAAACCACCCGTGCCTGCACTTGCATTCTTCCGTGTCTTGCCCGACGCACAGCACTCTTGAATCCGGCGTGACAAGGGTTTGTCTTCCACATACTTCCAGTTCTTCTACTCACTCCTGCAAAGCTTGTCTTGAGTCTGTCTAGAGTCACGACATGGTGTGGCTGACGCGGCATAAACACAGAAAAGGTAAGGCCCAGAAACAAAACAAAAACTCCCTCAAGGCTCGGGCAGAATCCAGCCAAGCGCCAGGAATTCTTTGTTCCAGGCCTAAGCTAGCAATCCACCACCATTCCCATTCCATTACAGACACTAGAAGGTCCCAGAACCACAAGAATGACTCCTCTCTGAGCCCTGAGCATCCCCAGACTCTGAACCCTGCGAGCATCTGCGAATAAACCTAAAACTCCAAACCCTCGAACCCCCTACCCAAACCCCCAGCCCTTAACCTGATAACCCCCAAGCCTCAAAGTTCTTTCCGAGTTCTAGAGCATCACGAGGAGAACTGGGGAGGCGTCCAAAGGCGATGGAACTCTCATAGGCTCCTTTGGAGAAGCCCATCACGCCGACCTTTTTGGGGCTGAGGGCTCTCCAAAGTCACCTGCTTGTTAGGGTTTAGGGTTTCGGGTTTAGGCCCTAACTTTTAGGGTGCAGACTCAGGGTCGAGTCGAGAGGGTAGGGAGGGTCCCATGAAGCCGCCTTGTCGGGCGGTACGGAGCCACCAAGAAGGCCATCTGGATCCCCCACAGCCTCAAAGACCCGAGTTGAGGGCGCAGGGTTTTAGGGTTCCCCTTTCTGCTCGGATGGCAGAAGCTCCCCCTCGTCCCCCCCAATTCACCCAGGCCCCACAACACAGAAGCTCTGAACAGCGCTCGCGAAAACACCGGCGCAAGCCAGGCAAATTGACTGAACCTGACGCCCCCCCCAACCACGTGCTGGGACCTCAAAAGCCATATTGGGGACCTGAAAAAGGCTCTTTAGGCCATCGAAGGAGCGCAGAAAAGAGACGTGAAGCAGTATCTCCCTTATATAACCTACGTTAGTCCAATATACGTAAGTAGATAAAGCAAGGTCTAAAGTCACAGCTGTTGCCAGGCACCCGGCGTAGTCCCAGCCTGCGGCTTGAGTTTGGGCTCGAGAGTACACACGGCATCATGCTGCATCATAGCAGCTCCCAGGGCTCTTGGGGCTTTACTTTAAGCATAGCAGGCGGGTGGATCGGTGGGTGTGGATCGGGACAAGCAAGGCGCAAGGCATGTGGCGGGAACTTGGCTGATACGCAGTTGACGAGCTCTTGCCAGCACATTCTAAGCCTGCAATCTGAACACTAAAAGCCTCACATCAACTAGCAGCTAGCAGTGGAGTGGAGAAAGACTTCCACACGCACGAAAGCCTCCGAGGGTGTCCTCAGCACAACTTGCTCACCCACCATCGCAGGCGTGTTCCAAGCTTCACTACGTAATGTTGTGGGTTCACATGTTGTGCATTGTTGCTGCAACATGCTGCAACATTGTATTGCTGTACTGCTCTCAAACAGCCCGAACTACCTCCGCAAACAGAACGCACATGTTGCTAACAAGCCGGCAGCTAGTGCGGCCACGTCTCCAGGTGATAGTCGTAGCCCCAAGACATGATATCCTTAGACAACAGATTCGGCAATGCGGCACGCCTGCTACATCTCCAGCATTTAGCCACTTGTTATTTAAGTTATTCGTGGGGAATGAGGGAATGAAATTTCTTATGTCCCATATGTACCCTTTAAGGGGTTCTGTAGGGTACCTCATTCCCCCAATTTCTACGAATAACCAGTACGTTTATGTTGTTTGCGGCGATTTACACAAGGGGGCTGTCGTGGGTTTTAGACTTCATAAACATCAAAGCACCTCGGCGCTGCACTACAGACCAAGGCCCGAACCCCAATTCCTAACCTGGACCCAGGGCAGGGGAAGGGGGGGCAAAAGGGGGGGGCAGGGGGGGGGGGGAAGGGGGGGGCTGGGACCCTGGCGAACCGTCTGCTTGCGGACCCCGGTTTCCTCGGGGGGTACCCATTTGAGGCCGAGGCGGGTCGCGTAGCGTGAAAATTAATAAACTACAATCCTCCCAAAGAACCCACCCGACTAGACCCACGATTCATATCAGAAAAAGGGTACAACCCCACTGTCCAGAAACCTCCTAAACCCTAAACCTCCTAAACCCTAAACCCGAAGACCCTAAAACCCTAAACCCTCAAACCCTAAAACCCTAAATCCTCAAACCTTGAAACCCTAAACCCTCAAAGCCTTAAACCCTCAAACCCCTTAAGCCCCTTAAAGCCCTGAAACCATATCTGCTGGGACTCCGGGTGGCTCGAAGGCCCCGACAGCCCAGCATCCCGGGCACTGGGAGTGAGGCAGCTGAAACCTTTGGGGAGGAGGCTGGCTTGGGGTTAGGGTTTAGGGTTTAGGGTTTAGGGTTTAGGGTTTAGGGTTTAGGGTTTAGGGTTTAGGGTTTAGGGTTTAGGGTTTAGGGTTTAGGGTTTAGGGTTTAGGGTTTAGGGTTTAGGGTTTAGGGTTTAGGGTTTAGGGTTTCGGGGGTTGGCGGTTTAGGGCTTATAGGGTTTAGGACTCAAAGTTTGGGTCGGAGGAGTGGAAGTGGAAAGGTGTTGAGGGTTTAGGGTGATGGGAAGATTTGTACGGTGAAGCTGCAGTTCCCATCGATCGGGTGCCGATGTATGCTTGGCTGCTTCGTCCCTCTTCCTCCTTCTCCAGCTGTTCTTCACTCTCCCAGGATGTTTGCGAATGGAGATTTGCCCACTTGCCAAGCTTTCAGTTCAAGCTGCGGAGTACTTCCCCATGGTCAGGCTAAGAGCTGATTCAACAACCATAAGAACTGTCAACCCTTCGACCCAGAGTTAGACCCCTAAACCCTGCAAGGTAAGTCGGTGGCCCATTGATCGCAGCCTCGGGACTCCAGAACCAACGACACCATCACGAGTTGGTAAAGCTTGGGCTTCTAGGGATCCCGGCTTCATAGGCGTTAAGGTTTGGGAAGCTCTAGTGACTAGAGTACACAAGGACAAGAACTGTCAGTGAACCACTGCAGTGCAGGGTTCGCGCAGCCGATCCTGCTACGCTGTGTTTAGCAAATCGTGCACTCCGAATCCAGAGCATCCTCCCACGAACCAAAACAGAAAAATCCCAAAGCCACGGAACCCTATGCGCGGTAGCTCTCAATGCCGAGGCTCAGGTAGCAGGTGCTCTGGACGCCGCAATGGTTGCAGTTTGCCCCAACGCCATGCATGACCACGATGCGGGGCGCAGGCTTTCCTCCTACGGCGCAAGGGCCCCCCAGATCTGAACCTATGTCCTCCTACGGTGCAGTGTACACAACAGTGCTTTTTTACGTGCTTATTACAGGTATTGTTATTTTGCTTATACGACATATATCTATATATATATATATATGTATATGTATTATATATATATAATATATGTCATATACGTAGATATACAGGTTTCTTGCTTTTGTTGTACATACACAAAGCGAAAACAACCCTGTCAAGTTCTCAGGGCATTCGCCCATTTGGGCAACGAGAACAGAACATTGAAATGCTGCCAAGCAATAGGTGCCCCTGCAAACCCTAAGCGAAAGCAAGACTACCACTCCTGAATCCGAAGATCCAGAAGTGGCCTACGACAGCCTTCAACGATGCTTGCCTCGGGAGGGCGCCGGCAGCCACCACGCTGAGATATTCACAGGCGCCTCACCTTTCGGTTCAAGAGGCGTAGAAGTTGAGGTTTGGGGTTTAGGGGGTGGAAGTGCCTTTGTAAGTAGAAAGACAAGGCCTCCCATGATCGGAGGCAACTGATGTTGCAACTCGTAGTGGCAAAAAAACGTCGTCTAGGTTCACACTGCTACAACGGAGTTGAAGAAAGTTTAGGATTCGGCCACCGGAATTCTTTTGCCGGCTGAGTGGCCACCGATTGCAAGGTATGGCGCAAGAACGGTGCACAATATTTCACAGTGCAGTTCAAGAATCCGCCGAGGCCTCGGGCCAGAGGTGTATAGGTTGTGAGAACAGGCACCCCCCTCCAAATCCTCCCCCCACACTCAAAGCCCTTTTTCGGACTCGAAGTATTCAGGCCCCATAGTATCCCTAAACCCTAAACCCTTTTCCCCCCACCACCCGCCCTGGCACTCCCCTTCCCCCCCCCCCCCCCCCCCCCGCAGGGCCCCCCCCCTTTTCCGGCCACCCACCTTGCCGGCCCCTCCTCCCCCCCCGCGCCCTCCCCTTTTCCCAGAAGCCACCAAAATATTGGTGAGCGGCTCAACTGGTGTGAGCATTACACGAGCCGAAAAGTCTAAGCTGAACCTAAACCCTAAACCCCCCCTCCCCTACCCCCCCCCACCCCTCCCCCCCCCTCCCCCCCCCCCCCTCCCCCCCTCCCCCCCCCCCTCCCCCCACCCCCCCCCCCCCCCCTTCCCCCTTCGCCCCCGACCCCCCCTACCCCCCCCTGAGGGGCCTGGCTCAACCCTACGATCAAGCCAAACCGAACCGTCTCTTGAACCCTAAACCCAAAAAAACCCTAAACCCCAAAGCGTGAACCTTGAGCCCTAAGCCCTCAATCCTAAACTAACCCTCAACCCTAAACCCCAAACCATAAACCATAAACCCGGAACCCTAAACCCTAAACCCTAAACCCTAAACCCAACCCTCATTGCTTGGGGTCCAACGACTTGGGCGCTGCGGAATCACCATGCTCACGCGGATGCGCTGGGCCGGGCCGAGGCGGGTCGGGTAGCGTTAAAATTACGGCCTTCGCACAGGTGGTGCAAAATTGTGTTTCACTCTTCAACGAGACGATGAACGGATAGGGCCACTTGTGAGTATATTGGTTCGTCTGATGCCCGGACGTGTTTCCCGCTCGAGATGGGTTGCTAACTCGCCTGCGATTACGAACAACAATTTTGCAACAACCGGACACACCAACGACATTGATAAGGCGTTGGCTCCTGATTTGAGGCTTGCGGTTAAAGACTTCGGGCTATTTACGGTGCAGGGTAGGGCTTGCGGGGGTTTCTAGAGTTTAAGGTTTAGAGGCTTTTGGGGTTTGGGCTCTTCAGGTTTGAGGGTTCAGAATGTTTTTTGTTATCAGTTGTTGCGGTTTAGGGCTTTTGGGTTGCTACGGTTATTGGGGTTTAGGGCTGAGAGGCTTTTACTGTAGGGTCTAGATGTAGGATTTTCAGGAGTCGGGGAAGTGGGAGTTTACGGGCCTGGGGCCTTAGAGTTTCAGCTTATCAGGTTAAGGCTGAAGGGTCTGGGGTTCAGGGTTCCACCGTTTGAGGTTTCAAGGTTTAGGGTTGCGGAAAACTAGTCACAAGCGAGTGGAGGTCCACGTAGATGCAACGAAAGTAATAATGGCTCTGTGCGCGTGGCTCCATGCTGTGCTAATGTGTTGCACACCCTCAATGCACACAAGTCACCCTCCCGCAGCAGCGTTCTGCTGATAATGACTTGCGGGTCCCTAAACCCGAAACCCTAAACCAGGAACCCACCCCCCCAGACCTGTAAAAGTATCCCAAGCCCTGTCACAGCCTCGAGGGCCAGCACGGGAGGGGAAGTAGACCAGCCTCTGCGAGGCGATTGCTAGTGTGGTCAGGTCAGGGGTTAGCGTGTCAAATGCCCTCTGTTCCGGGCACCCAGGCTTTCAGAAGGGTTCAAGATTTTGGGGGTCTGTGTCAAACGGAGGGGCCCCTTCACCTGTCCAGGTCCAGCCAGAGCCTATCTTCGTTTGGTCATCACAGCCCGGTGCCCGCAATGAGGGCCGGGCTTAAAACCATGGTCCTTGTTGTAGCGCTCCCAGTTCAGGACCTGGGAATGGGGCTCTACTGGCAGCATCTGGCAGCGTGTCGAAAATATGGTCAGGGCACAGGCCCGACCCTCCCTTCCAGAGCAAAGCTTTCCATTGGTTTCCAGCTCCAGTCATACGATTAACTGCGGCCAGCAACAACAAACCCGTCGACAATGACAAGAGCAATCACCCGAATCCTTCGATCTCTCCCCGGTCTCTTGGAGACGTATACCCACCAGGATTCAGGACATGCGGGTTGAATCACTCCATGTCTTTCCGCTGCAACAGCCTGCTCTGCTTCCTTACTGAGCGCACGACAAAACTCAAGTTGAAGCAGGGATGTATACACCTCAGATGCCACTCTGTGCACCTCCTCCCTCGGTGCCCCGGGAAGCTGCGAAAGCCTGTCGCTGCTTCGTCTCTCAAGTTCCCCACCTGGTAGGTCTCTGATTTGGTTTAGGCTATGAGGAATGCATCTTCAAGGGCTCCACAAACCTGGAGAGACTTGTACAGCCGAGGCTTAGGCTTTCAGGGAATGCGACATGCACCCAACCAAGTCCTCAACACCGAAACCTCATGAGCCCCGCGACTGTCTCAGCTCGTCGTTTGTCTTGTTGCCCTCCTGGCCAATTTCACAGCGCCTAGACTCGCGCAAAATCTGCCCAAAAGCGGTAACACTACTCAACCCTGCTGGAGTTGATGCGCGGCGCTTCCCCAGCTTAGAAATTTGCGGGCCTATCTGAGTCGCGACTACCAGCCCCGACAGCCAGCCTCACATCCTCCGCAGCTGTTGTAGCGCGGGAACTCTGCAGGAGTGGTTTGCGCTCGCTGCGCATTGTCGTAGCCTCGTGTGTCAACCGTGCAATCCACGAAAGACAACTTGTGTGTGTGTGTCTCGGCAGTCTAGGATGCACATTTGCATGAGTACGAGCCCACAACGATTCTGCCCAAATTAACAGACGCCATCTACATGCGCATGATGCCGTCCGACCAGTTCTTGACATGCTTCAAGATCCCATTTGGGGTGCAGCATGGCTACCCGGCTACCGAAGGAGGCCGCAACTTGTGCCGCTGTTTGTAGCACATTTCCGCGAGTCATTGCGCGTCAAAGTTGCCAATCTCCACGCCATTTCCGTCAGGGTCGTACAAAAAGAGTTGCACGATTGGCTTGCCTGGCACACGCGCTTCTGCAAAACGCAGGCCGTGGGCCTGCAAGGTGCTTCGAGCTGCTTCGATGTCGGGTACAGTGAGGGCGATGTGGTGGCTCCTGCGGATGTGCCGCTCCGGCAAGCCGCCCAAGAGCCAGGAGTCCCTTAGCGGCCTTAAGGCGGCAGTCTCGGGGACTTCCCGGCGCCGAAGCTCTGGGTCTGCCTCGATGATGTGAAGCGCCTGATTGCCCGCGCCAGGGAGCCGGAGCCAAACCCCACCAAAGCCAAAGTCGGGGCGCGGCAGCCGCTCGAAGCCCAGCACCTCCTCATAGAAGCGAGCAAGCCTCGCCACGTCGCTCGTCTCACGGGACACGTGGTTCACGCACGCCACCTGCCCAATGAGGGTCTTGCTGTCTTGGGGTCTTATAGGGCGTTTGGGTTTGAAGGTTTGGGGTTTACAGCTTACGGTCATGGGATTCAACCATCGACCCTTATAAGGTAATACCTTGGGGTTGGGGACCCTTTGAAAGGTTCCCCTCACCGAAAGCAGGAGTATAATAAGGTCAACCCCTTAGGGGTACATCCTCAACGGTCCAAGTTTATCTCCCTTGACACGGAGGGCGCAGGCTTCGGCTTCTTGTTTTAGTTGCAAGGGCTTCTTCGCGCAGCGCAAGTTGTCTGGATCGTGAAGCGCCCGTTCCCCGTTTAGGGTTTAAGGCTTATAGGGCTTCGGGCTTCGGCTTCAAGAACAGTATTCTTACAGATTTTTGGTGAGTGTCGTTTGTTTTCTGAAACAGAACTTATTGGTGAGTGAAAAGGTGGGGTGCTTCTTGGGGGGGCTAATCGTCAAAAACGATTCATGACTGTATACAACAACTATAGAACCTACAACAAGCAAATGTCCCTAAGCCCCAAGCCCTCGCAATGACAGATCGCTCTTCCCTCGCAGAACCGCCTACTTTCTGACGACAGTTTGCCGGCTCCGAGAAGTTTCTTCCCGGTTCCCTTCAAGGTTCCGATTAACTTAGGGCTTAACTGGGGCATCAGAAGGTTTTCCATGGGCAGATCATAACTTCGGTTGTGTCATGGCCTCCAGACTGCCGCGCAGTGCCGCCACCGGCGACACGATGGCGGCAGGGCCCTCCGCGGGCGGCCGCTGCAGGAAGTAACCGCGCTGCTCTTCGGGAAGCTGGGCGTCGATGTGACGCCACACGGCTTCGAAGTCGCCGCCGGCGGGCAATGTGCGAGTGGGCAGGGAGGCCTTGGCAAGCAGCTGCAGGAATGTGGCTTCGTCTTGCGGGGGGCCGGCTTGCGTTGCTGCGGTGCCCTCGGCGGCATTCAGCTGGAGCTGCCCATTTCGCAGCCACCCGAGATGCCTTGATAGCAACACGCAGCGGCGGGTCTCCTCGGCACGTGCTTCTGAGTAAACGGCAAGGAGCTCTGAAATCGTTGATGCCTTGCTTGCAGCTGCTGCCAGCACAAATGCATCGTGCACAGCCATATTGGAGCCCTTAGCCATATGTGGCGTGACGGGATGTGCCGCATCGCCGAGCAGCGCTGCGCAGCCAGCGAAGGGTCCTTCTGTAGCTGCCAAAGAGCTCAGTGGCTCAGCAATGTCATAGACATCGTTCCAGAAAGGCTCGGGCGTGGCCTCGATGACAGCTCCTAAGGCCTCACCCCAAACGTCACGGGCCTCGCTGTGCAACCGCCTCACGTCCGCGTCTGATGCAGCACTCGTCGTCCGACCTGCTTCAGCGACAGGCTCTGGACGAGTCTCGTAAATGAGCCAGTTCAGAAGCCCATCGCCAAGGTCATAGAGCACGGCATGGCCACCACCACACTCGCGCATTGTGAAGTACAAGCAATTACCATATAGGGGATACGTGGAATGCAAGCTGTTGCGCGTCTGCTCTGGAAGATCGTCCTCTTTCACAATGCCCCTCCAAGCGGTGTACCCAGCAAAACGCAGCTCCTTTCTTGGATCTTCCAACTGCAGTTGCTCGCGGAAAGCAGACCGTGGGCCATCTGCACAGATGCAGAGGTCGCAATCAATGGGATCGCCAGAAGAGAAGTGCACGCGCAATGCAGCGTCTCCAGTGCCGTTCAGGTCGCCGGTTCCATGCCCACGCCGCTCCACCCGCAATGCCTTGCGTCCAAAGCTGATGCTGTCTCTGGGCAGAATCTGCTGCAGGCCTTGCTGCAGCTGCACATACCGCGTGGCGAAGTATGGAAGTGGCTGGCGCAGCACTGTGTGGCCGGAGACGAGCCTTTCCTCCTCCCACCGCATGCGCTGCAGTACCACGCCACCGGCAGGCGCCTTGTCAGCCGCGGCAAGTGGCACGCCGAGGCCTTTGAGCACAGCCACAGTCACTTCGTCCACTCCAATGCCAGCGCCTGGCTGCGGCCCATCACTGCGCTCTGCAACGAGGACGTTACGGAAACCGGCTGCACGCAGGCACGCAGCGGCTGCTGCCCCGCCGATTGAGCCGCCGATGATGAGCACGCGAGCCCCGGCCAGCTCCTGGGTCGCCGGGGGCAACGTCAGCGGCGGTACTTTTGCCAGCAGCTCCTCGACGGAAGCGACCGTAAAGGTAGCTCGGCTGCTGGGCGGTGATGACAACAGGCTTCCCATTGCTTGAGGACTGGCTCAGTATAACAAGTCTTAGTAACACATCTTCAGAGATGCCTCTCAATCTGTCGAAGGACTCTCACTCTTGGAACTAGGACTTTAATGGAACTATTATGCAGCGCAACTCCACCGTGTGGTGCTGGGAGCTGTGCAAGACCGAAAGGGACACCGAAGCAACAACCCCACCAGACACAATTCTTCACAGGAACGAGATAGGGGAGTGTGGGGAGAATGCTGCAGCCCAGTGTCGTGACGCATTCAGCTGCACAAGGTCTCGGCCCACCCACAGGAAAACGCAGAGGAGGATCCTTTGGCAACGGTCACAGGACTCTGTCGAAACGCATACCCCCGCTGAGTTCGCTTGAGCACTCCGTTTATGAATGCTTGAGCTATTTTCAGCCTGCCAGTCATCGCAACAGACGTGCTGCTGTTGAAACTTCTCATCTCACAAACCACCCCCGAACCAAGAGAAAGCAGTCCTTTACCATCCTACGGTACGGGAGCACTAGTCGGCAACAAACACAACCACGAAACACCATCACACTTGGACTGTCTACCATTAGGGAGCTGTAGAAGGGCAGAATTGCGGCAGAATAAGCACTGATGATGCATGTGGTCCTGTTCTCTATAACAAATACACTGCAGCTCGGGCACAGCAGCACCCCACCTCAGAATGAAGAGCCGGAGCAAGAATAGACAATCTCGCCCGGCCGTGGTGCACATTCTTCTGCGTGTCGGGATTCTGTTCGCGCGCAATGAGACGTGATCATGAGTTCAATGAACGACTACGCGCCTAACCACAGATGTCAGTGCACATACACTGCTTAGGCGTAGGAAGAGTGCAGGGCAAGGTCAGCTACAAGAACACTTGCGGCCCGCAGGAGACGTCTCAGCATGTTCTGCAGCCCAGTAGCAGAAGGACGACAAGCAGGTGAGCAAGCAACATTGTATGTGTCGCTTCTGCACAACGAGGAGCCTTGAGTCGCAGCGCAGTGCATGAACATGTTGGAAGGCACCTTCTGCAACATGTTCCCTTGCCAGATGCGCTTTGCCTCGCACAATTATTTGCACAATCAAGTGCCTTCCTTCAGTACGAAGGGCATATCGAAGTCATCAAAGCACTGAGGTTGGGGCTCACCCGCGTCACCCGACAAGGCTGAGGCTGGACCTAGTCGCCAGTTACAATTAGACAACAGCCGTACATGGGAAGCGGGCATTTGTAGCTTCTAGCAGGCTTTGCAAGTCTTGCTACAGTACTGGCAAGATTGACGTATTACGCTGTTCGCACTGGGGATACGGGGGCACCAGAGAGAACGTGGAAAAGAGGTACCACCCAACGCAAAGCCGCAAAACCCTAAAGGTTGAGAGGGCAGGAGCCCTCAAAGAGGTAATGTGCCAAGTGTGTGCCTCTCTGGAGCTCCTCATAAACCCGGGCGTTGTTTTCGCGATGTTTGCTTGAATGTGGGGCCGCGATGAATGTGGTTTCGCGATGAAATTTAGTATCTGTATGCCTGTATGACCTGTATGGTTTGTCGCAACCGAATCAATGCCCGCTTCAAGAATGGCCCTCGAGTTCTTTCTCGACGCCCTGCTTGCCTGCTGAGGTAAGAATTCATTCAAGGCGCTCTCCTCCGGCAGAGCCTTCAAAGGGAGGTGTGGCGCAGGGGGAGATTCAAGCTGTGGCCTTCAAGCGTGAAGCTAAGATCAGATATTTGGAAACCACACGCAATTTCTTTGTTGCGGCAGTCCCAAGAAAGGCCTGTGTCGCATCACGCTGCCCGCTGACCGGTTGGTAACCTCGGCCGCATTCTCGCACAGGTCTGAGGTTCACGGCCCCTTGTAAACGTCCATGCCGCGCTGTGGTGCGATGAGACTCGAGGTGCGGTAAAGATGGCTCCTGCTCATTCAGGGCCTGCAAAGAAGCCTACACACAAGCGCTGCCATTAGGGCGCAGCAGTGGAACTGAGCATTTGCTTTTTGTGGGATTCCCTGCATTGCCAGTGACTTCATTACAAAGATTCATGGGATGCGGGTAAATAAGGACCCACAGCAACAGCATACATGCACGTCGTCTGCAAGGGTGGTCTCGTAAGGTCCCTGATCAACAGTGCTTGTGCTGTGGCATATAAACTGAAGTGACTCCATGAATGACGAGGAAATAGCTACAAGATACCACATAACAAATTCAGTATATGTACATTTGTGATATGCAATCTTGTCTTGCATACTCAATATCGACGTAGATAACTGGGCTTTTGATGCAGGCCCGCGGCAACTGCGAACTGAGGCCTGCACCAGGCTGGCCAGACATGGCTTGGTGGCAAGGGGCCAAATCTCCAATCAAAGTTATGTTGGATGTGGTTGTAGCATGTTGTAGCCGTTATTTGGCGTGATCCTTGCTTCTGATGCATGGTGGGCCGTAGCTAGGGGAGTGACGTCCACTCAGCACGCAAATCTCTAGCACAAGCTGTCCCATAAAGGGTCCCAGTTTCATGTGCGATGAATCCCCAAAAAGATGTGCTAGTACAGGGAAGCTTGTGTTTGCGTGGCTGCAACAAGTGCGAACTGTCAAACTATCGCAGGAAACGCTGCGGCCTTGAAGGACTTTGCCTTCATGCGGCGAACGGTCAAGGGCACGGATTGAAAGTTCTTTGCTCAAAGGCGCAACCAGATTTGAGACTATCCAGTGTCGGCACTTCGGGATTGGTTTCTGAAGTGCGATGCGCTTGCAGAAGTCCTTCGGCACAGTCTTCAGGGGGGATTCATATTAAGTCGCCGATTTCGATTGCATACTCAACAAAGTAGGATCCAGCACCAAGCTCCATCTTCATCCACTGGAAGGGCAGACAGCCCGAAACCGATGCAGAATCCCACGCATCCCAAGTCCAAACTTCACACGCAAGCCTGCAACTGTGAACCTTCACCCGCAGTTCCCTTACACCCTTTGGTTTTTTTTTTTTTTTTTTTTGGGGGGGGGGGTATTCAGGATGCACCTAAAGCCCTACGAGGCTCTAGCCCTCTACACCCTGCGCCCTATCAATCCTCAAAACCATGAATTTCGGGTGTCCGAGAACAAAAGCCGCAACTTAGTCGACATGAACGGCAAGTGCCTGGAAATTCTCCCAGTCCACATCCGCCAAGAGGACCGGTTCCTGTGCTGGTTGTGTGGCTGGGGACCAGGATATTGGGGCTCGCAAGCTCAAGTGGGTTTTGACCGGAATGCTGGGGTGATGCTCTTTGACCTGCAAGAACCCATTTTGAAGATCAGCTCAAATCAGTGCCGGGATTTCTAGAAGCCCCCTAATCCCGACTCTTCCGATGCATAGTCTTTTGTTGACCATCGGAGACATGATGAAACCCGTGCATTTTAAGGGGGTCTGCTCGTAACGAGATTCATGTCGCCTACCAGGCTTGAATGGGGCCCGCGCACGCGGAAGGCTTGTCGTAACCAGCATTGCCCTCAGGAAGGCTTCGCCTGATCTCGCGGGGATGAGCTTGGGGGTTCAGGGCCAGTTTCGGGTTTGAGGGATCTGGCTGGCTTGGACAAAAGGGCAGGTTTATACTGATGAGAGGTACTGAGGGCCTGTGCTTCATTCTGTGAACATGTGTAAACCTATGGATGCACCACTCAGACAGAACCCCTCAATCTCATTTTGCATGCACATCTTTACTTTCGTGTAGATCCCATCATATCTTTGGGTCAATTGTGTCTGGGGGCCTTGGCAGAATCAGCCCAGGTGCAGAGGTTGGGAGAGTTTTGGGAATGCTATGCCTTGCACGCCTCAGTGTTTTGCTGCAGCTTTCCTCCCGTCTTGGCTTCTCGCAATGCTGGAAAGAAAGTTCGCTGATTGCAGAGACGGCGCTGGCCTGCAAAGTCCAGTCCAGGCGGAAAAGACACACTTTGCAACAAGCTCGCCACAACACAACTGTCAACATCGATTCTTCGTCAGTAGCAGCTGGCAGGCTTCTGTGTGCGCAGCTGACACGCTCCCCACGACGTGCCCACGATGCCATCTTGCTTGAGGCAGACTTGAGTGCTGAGGCCATCACATAGCGCATGGGCTGCTTTGCGTTAGACCCCACGTCTGCCACGCGGGAGAACCTGGGTTCTCTCTCTCTCTCTCTCTCTCTCTCTCTGCCTGCACTCGACGCTTTTATTAAAGGACCCACTGACTGAACGAGTTGTTCGCTGTACTTGCTGGCACGGAGCTGCAGGGAGAGCCCTGGCAAGCCTTTGGCCCGTCTTTGTGCCAGCAAGCCGTCCACCACCAGGTTGGCTGTCTGCAACGAAGGGCAGTCCGGAAGTGAGCTGAGTTTCGCCAGCCCACTGAACTGTTAGCTTGGGGCACTTGTGGGGGATCGGCTGTAAAATGGTAAGCCTGGAACAACATAAATTCAACCATTCAACCGTTGCGGAGATGCTTCAGGTGATGCTTTCAGTTGTCCAACTCGTAGAAGTTGTACGGAAACTTATAATTTGGGTGGGCTTCCGGCACCCTGCTGCGGGATCACAATTTCTTTCGAAGTCTCTGGCCGTCTAGCCGAGTCTAGCAAGTGTTGGGCACTAGCCTGCTGCATGCCTAACGCTTGGCGCCCGGAAGATCCCCGGAAGTTCAACTTCGAAGCTCCACACTTCTCCTCTCCCCTCGTTCAAGCATTCCCGGCCGCTATGGCGGAATTGGAGCCCTGACCCAACCTCGAGCGAGCGGGACACGAAATAGTGATTACTCAGTGATTACGAGAGCAGGGAACGGGCTCGAAGTACACGTGGAAGCCATGGCCACACCCGCTACACCCCAAGAACCCCGCAGTTTTCTGGCAAAAGGCGGGGCCTTGTCACAGCACTGAAGCTCCAATCCCAGTCTACAGTTGGGAGACTAGACCACCTGTGTTGTGCTCAAAGGCGTCGCTGTCAAGCCCCAAGTTCAAGACCCCAAAACCCTGTGGCCAAGTGCCCTGCGCAGTATTCAGAGATGTGATGCCCACAAAGCTCTGCAGCGGAT